TAGTACTCAAAAACAGAAAAGAATGCTCAGTTTTCAAATATGAATTTTTGTCAACGCAGCTCTGGCATCTCTGTCTCTGTCTCTGCCTCAGTCTCTCCGTGCAGCGTTGCCACATCGTCGAAACGAAATTGTTAATTTTTTGAATGCGCCCAGATTGAAATCTGTCATCAATTTCAATTAATCTGTGTGTCAACAAGTTGCCAGCCAGCCTTCAACGATTCAACATAAGTATGTCTATATATATATCCACATATATATTTGGACAAATCACGAAGGTCGCCCAAAAGGCATGCAATGATAATAAGTGCATTGTCATCGCCAACTGACTTTTGGAGTCTCAACATAATGGAGACAGACATCCACTTCGCATAATAATCAATTTCCATTTAGTTAAAACAAAGCCAAACAAAGCCAAACTAAAAAACAAACACCCAATGCAAACTGTGAATATCGCTGTTCAAATACCCTATAAATTTTTAAATGCTTGCAAATAGGCAGGGCAACAAAATTTCATTTATTTTCCTTTTGTAATTATTACTTGCGAATTGCTTGGAAAAGTTCTGCCAAGCCACCTGCAATTTGCAATTCTCAAGAAAAGACTCAGTTGAATGGCTCACATTGGGCTGTAAAGCTTAGCTGAAGCTAAGCAAGTAAATTCAAAGGCAGCTTGACATGAAAGTCAATATTTTCATAGAAAAAGGTCCTTAGGACAATCTCTAATCTTGAAGCACAAGTCACGAAATACGTTAAGAATAGCAATAATATAAAATAGCTAGAAATAGCTCTCTCTCTCTCTCTCTCTCTCTCTCTCTCACACTCTCTCTGACCTTCCTCACACCTTGGCTGTTAGTCTACTAGACCCATGACACTCAATTCGTTAAATTCAATAAATTGGTAAAAGGTTTCTGATAAGACCAGAACCGTATTCTGGCATAGGAAACCAGCAAGTCGAAGACAAGCCAAATCTCTCTCAAAAACGATTTAAGAAAGTAATATCCATGGGAAAGAATAGCTCTCCGATCTCTTCTTGAGACAACCAACCACCCAGTAGCCGAAGGAATCCTCAAAGCAGTGATTGGCAGACACATCATGGCAGAATGTGTAGCCCAATCCAGAAAATGATGTAGACTATTCTAGAAAACAGGTTATTAGCCTGAAAGAAATAAAAACGCTCGACTCGACAAACGATTCTGAGAAGGGCTAACAATTATCTTACTAATAATGTGTTTAAGCTTACACTAATAATTATATATTTTCGAACTGAAATTTAAAATCAAACGTGTCTCAGGCATATCATTAAAGAAAACTACTCAAAAATAAAGCAATCAAAAGCCAGTAAGTCAAACCGGTCAATTTGTAAATTGGTGAAACATATTTTTGTGTTAATCGGTTCCGTTATTATTCATCTCAATTGCTGTTCTGCTAAGTGGTTCTGAGATAGATTATTCTATTCTCGGTTGCAAATCCAATTTCAGAACAAGTCTGACAGGTTTAACGCCCCAGTTTCATTTATTTATAATTTTTATAACAGTCTAAAAATGAATGCGCAAACTTCTTTGGAAAATGCTGCAACTCAAACAGTTAAATCAAACAGCTAAAACTTAATTCATTACTCATGCGCATTGTGTGACGTCGGAGCGTCTTCAATAAAATGCACGATCCTCTGTCTGACTCTATATACATATATCTATCTCTGTCTGTGCTGCAGTCGTGAGACGTGACTTGGCTAAAATCATCAGCGTGCTGGTTAGCAAAAGCTGTTAACCAACAAGTGCCGGGTGACTAGGTGGAAATTCGAAAATTTAATTAAATCACAAGAGATTATTATGTTTGTTTGTGGTTGGGTTTTTCTTGTTTTGTTTTCTTGATTAAAATGCTTTTTCGAAATGGCCACTCAAATGTAAATCAATGTTAATTATATGGCTAATGCCTCAGAGCGAAGTGATCAGAAACTGGAACAAAGTTCAACTGCATTTTATAGTATACGTCTTACGATAGGCACTATTTAATATTGCAATTAATTCGTAGAATTGGCCCGCTGAGAGGGAGTAGAGGAAGTTAAGAGTTTGGGGAAGATGGGGAAGTACACTCTAACAAGTTCAAAGTTCAAAGTTGGGGTTAAAGTATTATCTTATTTATTATTTTCATATGTATTAATGTAAAGCAATCGTACTTTACTCATTCATTCTACCGATAAGTCACATATCTATTCTCTATAGCCAAGGAATAAGGTTGAAGCACAGGTTTCAAAGCTTAGTAAAGCATAGTTATTATTGGGTTGTTAAATCTTCTATGCCCGCAGTAAAGTTGGATCTGTAATTAACCCTTGCTGCTATCCGCAATTTAGAAATGCATATGCATCACAGTTTTTGTAATGGGCTGTTATTAAGTTTACCATATGTGATTAGGAATCCATCAAAGCTGCAAGATTAGGCACATCTGACAATATATATATATATAAATACGTATATTCTAACTGATTGCGAAATCAATAAAACGTCAAATTTTCAATAGCTCAATTAACAAGCAATCGTCCAATTAAAACTAAAGTCTAACAATTATAAGTACAAACGGAAAGTTTTCACCTAGCTATGGAAGAACAATGAAAACTGCAGTTTTCTTTACGGAAAAATCAGAAATATTTACTCATATGTGACGTATAAATGCTGTGCAAATCAAGTACAAATCGACTAGCAAATGAATAATATTATATTAAGGTATATGCGAAACCAATTAGAATAACTTAACTTTAAGAATGTGTTAATTTGAGCTGCTTGTTGTTTCAGATAACTTCCAGTTCATTACGGAGTTCGGCTCGTAACTCAGCTGATGATGCGGATCAAGTATATATAAGCACTATATGAGGTCATAGCTGTTTACCTCTTCCCTTTTATACCATTTTAGAATTATTTTCAGTGCATAAAAAATCATCTCGCCTGCCACAAAATAAGCTCGTGATTTGTGCACTTCCGGTGTGCAAGGGTCTTTAACCTAGAGGCTGCTTAATATGGCTGTTAAACTTTTGCACATTATCATTTCAAATATTCTCTCTGATTTTGTTAAACTTTCTTAAGCATATTATTGTTTCATCTGTTTTGTAGGCTGAGCACAGCAACACATTCATAATTAATAGCCTTGCATAAATCTTAATTGGAAGCACGTCGAGTCGCCAACAAACGCTTGGGACCTACACGCATCAGCACACACGTACACACACCCTCACACACACACACACACACACACACACCTACACCTACACTCTTACGAGCCACCCACTTTCTTTGTTATGCGTGTCGCACAAATTACTGTCAAATTTATATTTTGGGCATTTCTTTTTGTGAGTACACAAAGATCATAATATATACACCTATATATATGTATATATATATATATAGGTATGTGTGTGTGTGTGTGTGTGTGTGTAACCTTTGTTTGGGTTTTTTCTTTTCAAAATTTACAACCAGATGTGGGCTTATATTTCTTTCTTTTTTGGGTCACCTACAATTGAGCCTAGCAAAGCGACAAATTTGGTTTTGCTTTTGGGCAATGTGTGGAGATCTTATAAGCACACATAGTTATTTATTTATAATTGCTTGCGGTAAATATATAACGAATAACTGCAATCCAAACCGATTCGAGTATCATTGACACCAATTAACAAGAAACTTTTAAATGTAGAACTGCAGCCGTTTGCAGAATGTGGCCAATAACAAAACAATTGCTGCATTTGAATTGGCCTCGAAGCTTTCGACAGTTTCGGCAGTTTATTGTTTAAATGTATTTCAAAAGCGCTCATTTAAGACTGCTGACCATAACAGTGTCATGGAACAATACAGAAAACAACAATTTCAAAGAAAAAACATATTTCGAATTGGAACATTTAATTAAGAAACGAAATCTCAAATCCAAGAATGCTTTTGTAATGAAATGAAAGCAAGAAAAGTAAGAGTGCTGAAAGAGGTCGACTTGGATACCCTGTACCCACTTTGACTTTGACTATATATAAACATAAATATATATATAACAAAAATGTTCTAGTCTCTGAAGTAGATAAGTTCAACGGTCGTGAAAGAAATGAATGATGAAAACTAATTCAATTCTCGTATCTTGGAAAGTATTCTTGATCTAAGTTTTGCAATTCAATTAATAGTTGGCTTAGTCTGCCTGATTTCAAAGCAGCTTCTAATATATGTTACTCAACATTAATATAAATATAATACTATATATAACCCAACAAAACCAACCGATTTCTTCAATTTGTTTGTATTATTTTTGTATTACAAAAGTAAACCCACGAAATGAGTAACAATTTGGGAAAGACTCTTTTGGAAAAAAAGTGAGACCCACTCAAAGCAGCAAACTCAAATCTCAAAACTGACAATCTCAAAATCTTCAAACTCTCATTCAGAGATCACAACAACTACAACAACAATAAACATAAAGACAGACTCAGCTTTCTCAGTTACCCAAAACAAACAATTGCGAGTGCGCTGTAGCGGTACTTTCCTGTTGTTGTTGTTGTTGCTGCTGCTCAAAGCTCTTGTTTTTGGTTAGATATTTGAGCTGACTTTGCTTTTGGCTTATTGACTTCTCTCTCTCACTCGCCCATTCTCCCACTCTCCCGCTCTCTCTCTCTCTCTCTCTCTCTCTCTTTCTCTCTTTCTTGGCTTTTAGAGCTGATTATTTAGTGTTCCGATTTTCATTACGTGGTTTCGTCTTTGCTTTGCTGTTTTGTTGTTGTATTTAGCTCTTATTTTTTATATTTTTTGTTTGTTGTTTTTGTTTTTGTATTTTTTGTTTTGTTGTTGTCGCTGCCTGCTGCTGCTTGCCTGGCGGGTATTTAAAAAATTTCCTCATGTCGATGCTTTTGCGCTCAGTTTCAGTCGGTTTTTCAGTTTCGGTTTCAGTTCGAGTTGAGCGTGCGTCGGCATTGGCAGCAAACTTTATTCACCAACGAGATTCCAACGATTTCTGTGTGCTGTTTTCGTCGTTTTTGGATTTTTCAATTGAATCCAAAATCAAAATATATATATAACAAATATTTTGGTTAGTTTACCGTTTAGTGATAAACAAAAGCAACAAGTGAAACTATCGCTTAAAGCCTTGAAAATTCGGTGTGTGTGTTTTGTGTGTTTGAACAAAACTGAGTCAAGAATCGATTGCCAAACCAAACGTATCGAAACGGAAGCAGCTCTGACGAAAGCAATAAATCCACCTTACCAACTAACACCACCCCCAGCCCCCACCCCTCACACACAGTTCGCTCGCAAACTGTTTGTTTGGAAATTAACCTGATCTATTGAACTATTGTCGTTTTGTTTGTTGACTTCTCCTCAACTTCTTCAACTATTGACACGCTGCCTTTTCACTTAACATTTGTTTTGTTCGTGTTTTCTACGAGAAGCCTGTGTGTGTCTGTCTGTCTCTGTCTCTGTGTGTGTGTGCTTGTCATTTGCAGAGTTTTTCGCGCTTGCTGAGTAAGTTTGTTTTTCACGTTTTTTTTTCTGTTTCCTTTTCTTTTTTGCGCGCGCGCTCTTGCTGGAAAATTCATTGGCGTTGCGTTTGCAGCGCTTATATTTATTTGAAGGTTTCGGGTTTTGGTTTAGGCTGAATTTTTTTATTTATTTTTGTTGGTTGATATTCTTTTTTTTTGTTTTTTGCCTGCTCAGCACAAAATTTTTGTCTGTCGACATTTTCGACAGCGTGGCCAATTTTTTGCCTTATTGTTGTTGTTGTTTTAACATGATTTATTTCATTTATGCCCAGCGGCTATAAAAACCGGTTAGACAAAAATAAAAAAAAAATACAAAAATTGCCCATTTAAAAGTGTGTGTTTTATTTATTTATATAATTTCTTCTCGAACTGACAGCCAGAAACAATAAAAATCAATTGTCTAAGTGATCGAGTGCCCGATTAGCAAGCAACAATAAGTTCCGCAATTTCACACCCATTTTTTTATGCCCTGACCACATTAAAAATAGGCAGATGGGGTATATTGAATGTGTGCCTATGTATGTACCAGGCAGAATCTATAAAAAGTATATATATCTTCTTGATCACCATCAAAAGTCGAATAGATCTAGACATGTCCTTTTGTGTTTCTTTTCATTCTTATTAGCTCTACGATATCAGATCTCGAATTTGGAATATAACTGAAAATAACTGAATTTGTTATATTTTCGGTCGTTTAAAATTTCATCATGAAACGTTAACAAATATTGAAGAAATCGTATGAGAACATGTTACGCACAAGCATTTTCAGCACACACAGGCCTATCTATATAGACATATACATAGTCATAACTAAATATATATATAAGAATAGCTTAAAACCCGGTCTCAGCACATCTTCCAGTTCTTACTGGTTTTGCTTTTCTTTTTTTTTTGTTTGCGGAAGGTTTCTAGCACAATTAGGCGCGGCAAGTTCGTTGCCTAAGTCTTTTGATTTGGCTTACAAAAAAAAACAAAACAAAACAAAAATTGATTTGCACGCGACATTGAAAGCATCAATTATGCGAGCACACAACATTTTGATTGAACCCCGTCAAGCGGTTTCAATGTTAAGGTCTGACACAGACAACAAATATGCTAATGGCCAACAACAACAGCAGCAGCAGCAGCAACTAAAACAAATGGCTTGAATGAGCCAGTCCCGAAAGTAAAGTGCGACATCGAGCAATACACATATACATTCATCTATATATACACGATATATATATAGATACGATTTACGATTTGCATATGGCAAGTCGCTCCCCAAAAACAGATATCAAGTTCAGCTAGCGCATGTTGTGCATATCAACAAAATTTGATACACATTTTGTTGTTGCCAGGCCGGAAGCATAAAAATAAAATTCATCTATACGAAATAGCTAAAATATATACCAATAGATGTGCGTTGTCAAGCAGAGGGAGATAGAGAGATAATGCATCGTAAGATAGAAAGTGGCAATAAAATGAAATTTTATTGGCATTTTTATTGATTAAATATCTTAGTCACAGCATGTTTTTTCCCATCAGTTTTGGCTAGCCCTTACAAAATAGGTCAAATAGCTGAGCAAGCATGAAATTTCAAAAGATTTAATATGCATAAGCGATTTGGCGCTCTCATAAACATATATATACATTTTATATTTATATATATAAGCAGCTGCTCGGAGACTGAGCGATTTGGAGGCTCTCCGCCTTTTGGCTGTACAAAATTAGCAAGCGAAACGCAAATTTGGCCAAATTATGCAAATCTTTGGAACATAAGTCACATGGTCTTTTATATATACCAATTTGGATGGATTTTTCTCCACTTTTTTGATGTATGTATATAGGCAGATGCACTTAAGCATTTTATATAGATGTGTGTATAGCAATCCTTACGCTTGATTGCGCTTCGTAATTTTTGTTTTGCGACTCTTCTCAGATATTGCCCAAGCTAAAGCGAATGTTGGCTTTTAATAATGTATGACGCAGTGCATATTCTGCCACATCTTACATAAGCTGATTTCATAAACCAGAAAGAGCGCTCGAGCCGAGAGAGCTTGACTGGTTGATACCCTAAACTTAGTCTTTGCCCATAAATATAAATAATAATTTGTTTACTTGATGAAATCTGACAGTTTCATCAGTTGCTTCGTAGGCACTTTCCACAAACTTTACTATAACCCATTTAGCCACTTTATAATAAACAATCAACATTGTTGCTAAGCTCGCTTATACAAGCGAAATATTTGAATATAATTCTTCAAAAAAAGTCTCTTTTTTTTACATTCTCAAGTCGTCTATTGGAACTTCATCAAGATTGGTTAGCAAACACAAAAGATGTTAAGGAAATTGTATTTTCTTCATTGAGCCAACCACAAAGCAATCAAAACACACACATAATTTATAAATTGTTGTGCCATTATGTTGTTGCTATTCATATGCAACTTCAGTTCACTTAACTTCAGTTGATCTCTCCAAAAGGGCGACAATATAATGTGGTGGCTTTGCGGCATAAGCTTTTGCAACAGCTCAATTAAACATCTTTTCGTTTTTTTCGCAATAAAATGGGCAAAGACTTGGGTTTAGGGTATCTCGTAGTCGAGCTCTGTCGGCTAGAGAGGCTTTTCAAATCGATCAATTCTCGGCACATCTTTCAGGAATTTTCTACACACACCTAATTAGGTGAACAAGTGTAGAAATTCTTCAAGAGGTTGCTCACAGGTCATTGACTTTCAACCTGTGCAGAAACTTAACCGATACCGATACGAATTAGTTTTGGTAGTCAAGAAAAAAAAATATCTTAGAAAATGGCGCTGTGGGTCAGATAAAAATGTTGGTGATACAGCCAAGACCTAGTCCACATAGAGTTTCATTGGAAACCAGTTTATTTTTTGGATCCGGCATTCTGTGCGCGATCTCAGTTGGCAATTCAATGCATTTCAAAATCACACATAGTTTACATAATTCTCAGTTCGGCTCAATGTCAACACCTTGAAAGAAATCAAAAAGAGACAAAATGAAATAAGATTTAAGAAACAGCCAAGTCATGCTTTGAACGCATTTTCATTATAACTTTATTGTGTATGTGAAAATTGAGAAGTCAGCGAAGGCTGCTCGACTCGGTTAGCAAATCAATTTTGGGTTTTTTAGCACCGCCCCTTTAGAAATCCGTTAGCTAATTAAACCAAAAAAAGAAACCGCAATTACGCAAAAAAAAAAACCATCAATAAAGCAACACATGCTCAATTAGCGCCAATATGCCGAAAAAAATATAAAAAATATACAAATAAAATAAATAAATACAAAATTAAAGGAGACTCCAAATTGTCTGTGGGCAATTTGCATATCAAAAGACATCAGACAAAAAATCAATAAATTGACAATATAAAACTTAAATTTAAAGTGTCCGTGACCGTTGAAATCAGACAATGCCAAAAAAAAGAACTGCAAAGAAAAGATAAGAAAAGACATTAGATCAGCCATATGATATACGTAGATGTTCTAAGCCGGCTGTGAAACCGTTTAGTGTTTGGCTTCCGGTTCCGGTTTTTGGCACGCGAATTTTGCAATTTTGGTAAAGGTTACGAATTGGTTCCAAATTCTTTCCGGTTTTCAGTTCCGTTTTGATGCTATATGAACTGATAATAACGGTTTCGGATTCTTAAAACAAGAGAGCTCACCTAGGAAATACCCTGAGCCCGCTACCCTGGCCAGCTATTAAATACGCACCATTAAAAAGCTGAAAATAGATTGATCAATAGGAAAATAAGTTTTGATTGACAATATCTGTGTTTCCTATTCGACATGAAAAATGAAAGCTTGATTATTGATGAACTATCAATAATCTGTCAGTGTATTTTATATTGATTTATTTATTTATTCAACTATTTAGTAAACTAAATTCAGTCGACTCAAAAAATACAAAAAGTGGGAAACACTGATTATATTCAATTCAAAATAAAATTTTAAATCAAATGTTTATTAAAAAATAAATCAATTCTTATCGATACTAAGAAAATGTTTTTGCAGAAAGCTGTCACTTAAATGAAATAAACTTAATCTGATTATGGTGTACGATAACTTATATTCCTCAATCTCAAGCTCTTATATTGGATGCAGATTTTGAATAAATATGTTTTATGGGTTTTCAGATGCTTTCTTTTCATACTTTTCCCCAAACTCTAATCAGTTCAACAATTTTAAATGATCATTCCGGGTGCAATTCTGAATTGATCTTAAACACCGATTCCAAGTTGCCTCGAGCCAGTTACAAACTCCACCAGAAACTTAAAGTGCCCACTGTAAAGGTATGCAAACATGGCAAAACTGACTCCATACCAACCCTAAATAGATTTGTAAGCTTTGTGGCTGATTTTTGAAAGCGGCCTTGACACAAATACAAACTGTAAATTATCGAAAATGTAATCTCAAAATAGCTTCGCAGTTTTGTATCTTTTGTGTGTGCGTGTGTATCTGTGTGTGTGTGTATGTGTGTGTTACTTACAATAGACAAGTGGGATCTTGGGCAAGCAGCCACAAATTGTTGAACATGATTCGCTGTCGTATCTGACAGATAGATATTCGCATAATTGGCCACTAGCCAGCTGATGTGTTAAAGGGCACAAATCAAATCAATTGTTAATCGCATCAAGTCAAGGCAAACAAGCTCTACGCATTATATGTACATGGCATACACTGTTCAAAATTGCTATTTCAATTATTATTTCCTTGTCGTCTATTTCTACCTTTTATTATTATACTCGAATACCAACTTGAAGCTTGGTATTTAAATATTCATCTATGCCAGTGTCAGACAAAGTGTCAGAAATTCGAGTGTTAAAGAAATCGATAGCCTCGATAACTGCCTATCGATAACACCATATAACTCCCATTATATTAAAATAAGATTGAAAAGCTGATACCTTTCACATTTCTTGAGCTATACTCTCCAAATCGGAAAGGTTTACTCCCTCCAGACTTAAAAGATAGATTACTGGAAATCTGCTTCTATGAAAGTGTGTTGTTCACACCCAAAAATCGCTCGTTACACTTCCCACATTATTTGAGCTGCAGCCAAACCAATTTGAAAGTTAGTTCGCTGGTAACTCCCTAAATCTCTCACAGTTGTGGAGCTATAGTGGTCATATTTAAAAGCTGCATTAATGATTATTCAATAGTTGAGATTTGCATCGCAAAATGTTTTTGTTTTATTTTGTTGCAAATGGTGTTAAATTAGTATCACTTAAATAGATATTAATAAACTACTTAATTTCTTGACGTTTATCTTCCGTTTTTTGCGAGTTCAACTTAAAAATTTGAATATATTTCCTATTCAAGTCAGTCGAATATCTAAAATATTAATTAGATGATCATCATTTATATGCGACGCTATATGTTTTCAAATCTTCGCTGATATATATCTCTAGGCAATCGAAGTTAACGGTGAAATAGACTCAAGACTGCGCGGAATTAAAATTTAACATTAACTCAACTTGACCCCGTCTGCAATTTGACCTCAGCGCAGATCGAAACTAAACAAAAACTAAATTTTTATATTTTTCGTTGGTTTGTTTTTTCATTTGCATTTTGCAGCTTCTCCAACGTAGACAGAACCAGCAGCAAGTTGGCGCCACCCACAAATCTAGAGCCCTACACCATGGCCGTAATAACGGAGCATGGCAACACTAACGGTAATCATAGCAATGACACCAATACCAACACCAACACCAACAGCAACGACATCAATAGCAAGATGGAAGGCATCAGCAAAGCTGCAACTGAATCGCCGCATCTCGGCGAGCGTCAGCTGAGCACTGCTCAAACCATTCCCGAGTTCTTTGCCAAGAAGAACATATTCGTGACGGGTGGCACGGGATTCCTGGGCGCGGTGCTGATCGAGGCACTGCTGGACACACATCCCGACATCGGCACCATCTATGTCCTGGTGCGAAGCAAACGCAACTTTGATCCCAACGAGCGCATCAAGCGACTGCTCCAAAAGCCGGTGAGTAACACTACGAAATATATCCAAAACTAGGATGTCGAATCGATATCCCAATCAAGATCGGATCCGCTGGAAATTGACAACTGGGTACAGGGTATCGCACAGGCGAGCTCTCTCGACCAGAGCATTCCAATACAGAATGCATTTGTTTGTTTGCTTTGGGTCAAAAGACGTCACAAAAGACTCATTTGACCCATTTCCAAACCCGAAAGCGGACATTATTCAAGACAATTACGACTTGTTTTAATGGCGCCTTAATTTGTCGAAAGTGAAGTGGTTTCCGCTCCGCCTATTTAGCGGTTTCTTTTATTGTAATCCCCTCTATTACAACTATTACAATTTACACATTTGCTCTTTCTAATTTTATTGTTTGTCAGCACTTTTGACACTTTTCCATCATTATAAGTTTTAAGTGCACTTTTAATAGCGTACTTAAGTGAACCTTATGCTTTATTTTATCATACACAAAAGACTTATGCTAAAATAGAACTATTTTTTGTTAATATTGTATAATAATAAAAAGAAAAAGAATATTCTCTGGAATCGAAAGATTTACGATTCAAAACTAATTTGAATTTGAAAGGCGGACATTTGAGCAAAGCTCAAGAATAGTAAAGAGAGATCTCAAAAATTCCCAAGAATTCCGACAAGGAATCTTTTTAATCGTAATATCGTTGCTCTACGATTCCTGAAACGTTAAAAAAAAAAAACAATCTTTTTATCAAACTCCAAATAGAAAATATGAGAATCTAATTTTTTTTGTTTTTAAACTTACAGATCTTCCAGAAGTACAATGAGAAGTCGCTGGCCAAGGTTGTGCCCGTTGTGGGTGAGCTGACGGAGCCGAATTTCGGGTTTGGCAGTGAGCTGCTACAGGAGATGATCGAGCGGGTGAATGTGATCTATCACAGTGCGGCGACAATCCGGTTCAATTCACATTTGCGTACGGCAATCTTAACGAATCTGACCGGGACGATGCGCAGCATTGAGCTGGCCAAGCAACTGAAACAGCTGTCGGCGTACATTTACTGCTCGACGGCGTTCTGCAATAGCAACAATCGCGGCCTGATCACCGAGGAGGTCTACAAGTCCCAATTCGATCCGTACGAAATGATGAAGATGGCGGAGAACGACGATGAATGGATCGATTTCACACAGCAAAAGTGCAAAAGCTTTCTCAAGGATCATCCCAACACCTATACCTTCACCAAGAATCTCTCCGAGAATCTGCTCATGGCCGAGATGTCCGGTCTGCCGGCAGCCATCGTAAGGCCATCGATTGGTAAGTTTATCTATATAAATTGTCTGCTCTGAGAAAAGAGCGAGAGAGAGAGAGTTATCTAAATGAAAAGTGGAGAGTTTTACAGCGAGCGATTGTGGACTGTGTGGATCGTATGTGGAATCCAAGTCATGTGTATTCACAAATCTACACACAAAATAGGCAATTTGCTTTGTTTCGCGCTGCTTTATTCTGCACTGCTTTGTTTGCGCTGCTTTGTTTTGCATGCTGGCGCAACAAAACACAGCATATAACTGCATTTTTCACAGTTGTTGCTTATTGATTACACCCTGTAGCCTTTAATGGCTAAAGAGTGTATATTCGTCAATATATTGTCGAGTTGTTAATAGCCTTTGTCTTTATCCTTTCATAATTAATGAGTAGATTAAAATGGAGTTGTACAAGCATTAATCACAATTTTTTGCTTTCTTTTTCTTATTACAGTTTACGGCACACTGGAGTATCCAATGAAGGGCTGGGTGGGCAATGCGAATTCGGGTCATTTGGGTTTTCTGGCCGGTTTCATTAAGGGCATCTTTCGCACAATGTGCGGTAGTGCGAATGCCATAATCGATATAATACCATGCGATTATGTGATCAACAGTTCGTTAGTCATGGGCTGGTATGTGGGCACACGTCATATCGAACAGCCGGAGATCATACACTGCACATCGGGGGAGGTGAATCCGTTGAATTTGGCACAATTCTGCGACATTATCAATGACAGCGTCGAACGACATCCGCCCAACAGTTTTGTGTGGAAGCCAGCGACAAAGTTGCGCAACGGCTGGCGCTATAATCTATTCTTCTATCTGTTCCATCTGCTGCCCGCCATGATATTTTATATACCCGAGAAGCTTTTCAACCTTGGTATGCCGCAACACACGTAAGTGAAAATCAGATATGAAAATTAAAGGGTATGCACAAGTGTCATACTTGCCTAAACGCCTCGAGATTGCGAAGAACGATAAAATCCCGTTGGTTATTGGTCTATGCTTTCGAAAGTGGCTGGCTAGCATGGGGAGAGAGAGAGAGAGAGAGAGATAGAGAGCGTTCAGAGCGAGAGAATGATGGATAAAGAGAATTATGAAAATGTGAGAACCGAGATGAGAACGAGAACTCCTTGTAGTAAAAAGATTTACAAAAAAATAAAAACTAAATAAAAATGAATAATTATTTTATTATATTATATTATATTATATTATATTATATTATATTATACTATTATTTATTAATATATCTTATTTATCTGTGCAGTGCTTATGAGTACATGCGTGTGTTCCAGAATGGCACCAAGGCATTTGACTACTTCCTCGACAAGGACTTCCGCTATTCGATGAAGAATGCGCTGCGCGTATCCTCAATGATACATGAGAGCGATCGCAAGCGTTATAATTTTGATGCCAGCCGCTGTGATTGGTCGGAGTTCATCGATCGCTGCCTGATCGGCATTCGACGCTTCTATTTCAAGGAGTCGGCGGTGACAACCAAATGGCATCGCAATTACTGGATGGCGTAAGCAATCGTATACTCAGTTCTTGTATTTATTATTAATCTGAGTACTTTCTTGTATTCTAATTTTAGTTTCAATATTCTACACTATGCCGGTTTCGTTGCGATCTTTGCAGTACTCCTTTGTGTATTCGGTCCCCTCCTGGGCTTGAAAATTGGTCTGCCGTTGTCGCTGTGCGTTTGGGGCTTCTTGATCTGGCTATAATAACAAAAACAAAAACAAAAAACAAACAAAAAACACGTTACAAAAATTATAGAACTTCCTGCGAATCGCGCACATTGTGCAATATATTCAAAACTTTCACTCACCACCACACAAGGCAGTCCCGTCCCCCTTTCCCCCCTCACAACTTCATAGGGTATATCATGTATTTTTAATTTAAGTTCAACAAAGTCAACTTGAAAGTTAAACTTCGAATAAACAAATCTATCTACAAACAGCAATGCAATTAAGCCCAAAACTTAGCTCAAATCGTAGTCACATAAACAAATAGTCCTGGTTTATAGTCAAATAGTCAATTTTGTGTGCACTTGTATGTTACGAAAGTATATATACGCAAATATATATATATATACATATATATATATATATATATATATATTAATGTAAACGATTAAATATTAACAATGTAACTATAAATGAAATAAATATGACAATATAAATGTTAAGCTAAATGTCACGAGTATTGTTTTCTTTATACACTGAATCCAATCCAACAAGTGCCTGTGTTTTAAATCATTATGACATATTAAGCAACTGGCTGCAGGATATCTGCTAGTCGAGCTGTCTCGATTGGAGTTGTTTTTCAATATTTTCAAATTCAGATTGTCGAGCAACTTGTTTTAAATATTCGACAGTCCCAAAGTATGCTACGATATTTGAAGCTAATATTTATCCTAGCATACTTTAGGGGTCAATATTTATTTTCATACACAAATACCAACTACTTTCTTCTGTTATCTTAATGTAAATTATTGTCAATCGGATTTATATATATATTTATATATATCATTAGTTCGATATCTATAAATGGACAAGTGAATGCATAGCGCTGATTAAATCATTAGTTGATTTTTAAATCCATATGTAATTCATATATCCAATCACATTTTCCCCATTCGATGATGATCATGATAATGATGATGACGATGATGAAGTTGAGTATAATTATGCTCTTAACGTTGCTGATCACTGAACGCTGAAGTTCAACGAGACGAGACGCAGACTCGCCACTATCCGAGAGAAGAGAGCGGAGAACTGAGAGCCGAACTCGGTGAGTCGCATCGAGGCGATGAAACAGTTTCGCTTCGGCCGGCCAACGTATAAGTTGTGAGTTATTTGAGCGCGTATTGCAAGAGGAAAAGGCAAAACAAAACAAAACAAAAAGGCATCAAGTTTTCTAACGAACACAGCAACCCATATATATATATATATATATATACAAAGCAACGTAACTGTTTACAAATACATGCATATACACATACATACGCATATATGTGGATGTGTTTGTGGATATTGTTTACTACCGCACCAGCGCTAAAACAAACAACCAGGTGAAAGAGCAGTCAGCAAAAAAATCCAAAATAAAACAAAATTAAAAAAAAGCTGAGTTTAAAGACACACGAGAAAAAAAGAGAAATTTTCGATACTTCTGTCAACCCCACGACGCAGATATAAAAGAAAATAGTGAATATATATATATATATATATATAGACGACATATATATTGCTGAAGAGCTGCTCAGTTACAATGGCCAGGTAAGCACATTTTGGCCATAAACAATGGGTCAACAAAAAAAATTATTCCTGTTTGACTGCTTTTTTTTTTGTTCTTTTCACGTTTTGTTTTATTGAACTGAGACATGTGCTGCCAAATTTAGAGCTAGCACAAATTGAAAACCATATGTGACTCAAATGTAACTGTAACTGTAACTGTGATCCAGTTAGAAATACTCGAACACCGACTGAGTACCACTGAGTACTTGAAGTATCCATTAATTATGAGCATCATTAAATATTTACGATGTTCTGTCATAGGAATAACGAATTACAGTTGAGCACAACATCGTAAACAACGTTCGCTATTTAATCGTTATTATTCACGTATATATTTTACAGTATTATTATTTATGTTATCTACATATACAATTTCAATTGAAAATTGTAACTTCGTTAAGAGCTGAGATGCCTCTGTAAAAACTTTGACCCGCACAATTTCAGACTTCAGATTTATGCGCATAAATTTTAATTGTACGATTGCTCTGGGAAACTGGTTAATTGACCAAGTGGGAGGCGTTGATATATATAAATAATTATATATATATACAATGCATAGATGTAACAGGAACTTTAGTGGAAAAATACAATGTAAAATGATCAAAAGATATCCAATTACAAGCTCAATTATGTTCCCGCAAGTTAATACTTCGTTTTTCGACTTTTATGCATTTACCGCAACAAGGTCATCCAGCCTGTCTGTCTGTCTGTCTGTCCATCTGTCAGTCAGCTTCTAACCGGATTCTCCTGTTGAGCTGCGAACCTCAAATTACGAGAAGAACCGACTCGATTAATGCGATTTTTACTTCCTAAATTACAGGGCAAAGTGCTAACCAACCGCTACTTAAAAGTGTTGAGATAAAAAAAATACTTGTTTGCTTATTATATAGTGGAGTACTTGCGAAAATCAACAATTAATCAAAATGTATACTTATTAACATATATATATATATAATAAGCAATCCACAAAGTTAGGAATGATAAATGCAAAACAAAACATGGCATATAATATACAATGTAATTTTAATCTATCGTTTCCCTATTTCATATAGTTGTCAAAGGAACAAGTGGTCAACTTTATTATGAACAAAACAAATAAATTATGGGTTTTATTATGTTACTCACATTGAGACAACAATTCGTTAAAATCGGTCTACAAGGGTATAAAACTTTCGGCATGCCTTAACTTTCTATTTTGAGCTGAGAAAATATTGTATCAAGTTTACTGTCTTCATAATTCTCATTCACATTTAAATTCACAATTTTTGAGTTTGTTGACCTTAAGTTAAGCTTCAAATTCTCCATTCTGGAATAATAGGAAAGCATCATTTGTTGAGTATGTATTAAACTACATATTTAACAGTTGAGTGCAAGGTTATTTTCTAGTTGACTCTCTCGAGTGGAGCATTCTAGCAGGAAACTTGGATGGTTTTTAAAATTCCAGTACTTGTTCCACAAATCCATAATTAATTACAACAACTGATAATGCTTAAATTTTCGGTTCCACTTGGCTGGCTAAGGAGCGAAGCGAGTGAGTAAACCTCCAACAAAATCTAATCAGTGCAGCTCACTGCGGTTGCCACTCATAGATAAGAACACAATTTAAGGTTTAGCGTCAAAATTAATAATTCAACAAAAGGCCAACAACATAAAGAGCAAAAAAGAATAAACAGTAGTCACTGGCAAAAAAGATGGCTGTTAAACTAGGCCATGAAATTTGCAAAGTGGCAAGAGCGACAGTAAAAATGTTTGCCATTTATTTATTTATTAAGGTTTGTTTCAACTTAATTTAGAGAAAGCTATGTTTTTGCTGTGAGTATAACTCAGCTAGCTGAGGTGCCACAAGTTGTTGCAGCTGCGGCTTCTCAAGAAATCTCGTAAATTGCACATATGTGTATATAGACATATATACATACAAATATAATTGATCGTGTTGCAACAAAAGAGACACGAATTAACCAAAAGCCATTTGCTAAAAGGGAAGACACGTTGGAGACGACTGGCGCGTATCATTAGGGCCTTATTATAACCAACTTCCAAATTAGCCAATTGAAATTGTTGTTGCGTGTGAGTTGGTCACAAAAACAAAAAAAAAAGATATATATATATATATATATATGATTATACACCCTTGCATACCGACATCTAACTTTCACTATAAATTAAAAAATATATAAATAAACATGAGTTTGGTCCATCAAATAAAAAAGTTGTTCATATGTCAAACGAGCTCATCTGTCGATCGTTTGTTACTGCCATATGATATAGGGATACGACCCGACTGCCTTCGAGATATCGATATATATATATATATATACATATGCCTGTAGCAAGTAGACGAATATTGATCATTTTCATCAAGATAGCTTTAGTTTGCATAGCAACAGACAGAGAGAAAGAGAGAGAGATACGGCTATATCGACTATCTGATCAATAATATATATATTGTATTATGTATTATGTGTTGCATAACAAACTGCCAGACAAAAGAAAGGCTATAAAAATGTTGTCTGCATAACAAATCTGGGCTCCTAACAACTGCATAGCTTTGGCATCAATTTTTGCTCATTAGTGCGGTTTTTTCTTAACCTTATTTGATAGTTGCTATACATATATAGATATATATATATATATATATATATATATATATATATATATGTGATATAAAACCAATGATAAACCCTGATAATTGTATGCAAAAGAAACTCGTAGCTAGAATTCGAATAGTTCTCGTTTGGCAAAATAGCAAAACAAAAGTGGATTGAAATGAGATAACGACAGCTTCCTCTTACATTGCTACAATGTGTAGACCATGTAACCAATTTTTCAGTTTGCATTAGCGAAGCTCGACTGTATACTTTTTAGGCGTTGTATGTTTGTAATTTTTTTGAGGCACTTGCTGTTTGCATTAGACACGCTCAGCTCGTTAGAATATCTTCAAGGGTCACCTGAGTAATGTAGTTAGTTACACAAATACTGCGAGGCACAACAAACAACAACTCATACACACACACACACACAGATACAGGCATAGAGAAACTGGTTTGAGATTTGGACATTCGAGCATCATTAAGTTGGGTGAAATATGATTTGATGTTGGCCACAAAATGATCTTTTTTCTTTGCCAGTTTTTTAGTGTTTGCTTTTTGACTGTCACGATCGAATTAAGAGTAGTGGGGAAAGTTGCCGCCAAGTTTATGCAACAATAATAACTATAACTAATTTACACCATGCAGCAGCAACTCGACACCCATCACAGATTTTTATGCGGGACGCAATGTGTTCATTACGGGCGCCACTGGTTTTGTGGGCGTCACCATCGTTGAGAAACTGCTGCGAGATGTGCCCGATGTGGGCACCGTGTATCTGCTGATGCGCGCCAAGAAGGGCAAGAGTGTCGAGGAACGGCTCGAGGAGCTCAAAGCGAACTCCGTCTTCGATCGCTTCAAGGAACTGCAACTGGAGTCGCGCCTATCCAAAATTGTGCCCATCGAGGGCGATGTGGGTTTGGAGCATTTGGGCCTGTTGACCAAAGATCGCGAGACGCTCATCGCGAATGTGAATGTTGTCTTCCATTCGGCCGCCACACTCGATTTCTTCCAATCGCTCAAGGAGACGACGAACATCAATTTGCGGGGCACGCGTCGCGTTGTCGAGCTCTGCCAGCAGCTGCGAAAATTGGATGCCCTGGTGCACGTGTCCAGTGCCTATGTTAATTCCTATCTTACCGAAGTCGAGGAGAAACTCTATCCATCGCCCGATGATCCCGAAAAGATCATACAACTGGCCGAAACGCTCAACGATGAGGCGCTCAAGGCGCTGGAACCCAAGTGAGACTGACAACTGAAATTTATAAATATATATCTATGTGTGTGTATAATTGATAGATTGCTCAAGGATCATCCCAATACTTACACGTTCACCAAGCATCTGGCGGAGCACGAGGTGGCCAAGGTCTCCTCGCAATTCCCCTGCGGCATCGTTCGTCCCAGCATGAGTGAGTTAATCAAATTAAATTCAAGTCTATCAGTTTTAAGTTGCATTCATTTGATTTAAGTTACGGCCGCTTGGAAGGAACCCATACCCGGGTGGACAATCTCGAAGAATGGACCGCAGGGCTTCTTTATGGGCGCTTCGAAGGGCATTTTGCGCCGTTTGCCGCTGGATCCCTCAATCATCATGGACTACATACCCATCGATGTGGTGGTCAATGGCATTATAACGACGGGTTACTACGTCAATTCATTAAAGTGGGTATTTTGAACAAGTCGACCTGCTTGATGTCTTTTAAGTATTTATTTCTTTGATTGCAGAGCTAAGAACGGAGATCGTCCGGCTGAGCTGCAGATCTTCCATTTGACATCAAGCACATATAAACCATTCCGTTTTGATTTGCTCAAGGATAAGATCAATGGGTATTTGCATGATTATCCATTGAATAGCGCTGTCTGGTATCCCAATTTGCGTCTGGTTAGGAGTCTGATGCTCTTCCGCCTTGGCGCTATACTCTTCCATTTTATACCCGGCTTCATTCTCGACTTTGTCACCAAAGTTTCCGGTGGCAGGCCTATGTACGTCATCTGTTGATCTTTAAAGATATTTGTATATTAATTGAAATTGTATATCCATTCACAGTTTGATACGTTTGCACAAGAACGTTTGGAACTCGCTGAACACCTTGGAGCGTTTCATATTCACTGAATGGCATTTCGATAGCAAACGTCTCCTGGCGCTCTCCAAATCGATGAATCCCGCCGACAGGACAAAGTTCAACATTGACATTGGGGAACTGACATGGGATGAGTATTTCGCCAATACGATTCGAGGTGTGCGCCAGTATCTCAGCAAGGAGTCTCCCAAGAATCTGGAGAAGGCGCGTTCCAAAGACAAAATGTTCGTAATTATTCGATTGTTCGATACATTTTTGAGCCTGCTTATTAATTTGTCTCATTTTCTCTTATTACAATAGTTTGCTGGGTTTGCATGTGGCGCTTCAGCTGCTCTTCTTCTTTGGCGTCTTTAAACTGATTATTTGTGTGACCGGCATTTCCAACGCGAAAGCAGCTCTCATTATGCCCGTATTTTATTATCTCTTTGGACTGATTTAGGGCCTTCCATCTACATCCATTTACATCGGCGAATGTGTATTTTACAAATAGTTGAACAATTTCACAATAATATTTATGGCAAGGTTTGGTTTTACATCTCTTCATTTCTTTTGAACACAAATATAAGACACAAAAATATCAAATATAAATCTTCAAATTTATTTAAGTAATTTGAAAGGCAATTAACTTCACATGGTATATCGAGATGAATATCGATTGTTTGATTATCCTTATCGATGTTTGCCTACCGTGGCGATAGTACAAACGCAGTGTTTGCGCAGTCGTTTTTTCTTAAGTAACAGCAAAGCACTCAGTTGGCACTGTTATGATGATCCGATTACACATTAACAGCTGTTAAATTTAAACTATAGTTAAAATTGACATATTCCTCATGAAATGCTTGCGTAAATAGTTAATTTAGTATAACAGCTTTGAATCTAAAATTAACTGTTAGTCCATAAGCAATTAAATAAAATACCAAACACTGTTAATAACATTTCAGCAAACTGTTAATATGCTTAGCCACTGTAATCAATCAATCAGCTGTTTCATTTGCTACACAGTTCGCGGATCAATCGGATCGCGTAAAAATCGAACGAAAAATCAAAATAAATATTGTTAAATACCAATAAATACAAACGGAAACAGAAACGAAAAAAAGTGGACGAGCGAGTGCAAGTGCAAAGCATTTAGTGAAAGCCAACACGAAAACAGCCGCAAAAAGTGAAAATATCACAAGTTGATGCAATCGCAAAAGTGAACTGAACGATAAACACAGCAAAAGTAAAATAAAAATAAAAACAAAAGGCACCCATTTCTGCAAGTGTTTCTCAATTATTTGGTAAGTGGAAAATGTAAAATGTTCAATATGTAAAAAAAAACACGCAACAAGTTGCGTTCCACCCCACCCCTGATAATAAATCTGCATCAGTGTGTGTGTGCGTGTGTTTTTGTGTACACACTGGCATGCATTTTTTTTATTTTCTTAGCCGTTTTCATGTAATTTCTCAAGCCTGCTGGCATTTTACATTTTATTTGAATTATGTATTTTTTTTTATCTATTATTGCGTAGCGCTGCTGCCAATGTCACCTGTTTTCATGCGCTTGCTCTCTCCCTCTCGCACACACACATACACAGACGATCTGGCTGGTTTTTATCTTTGTGTTGTTGCTGTTTTTTTTTGCCGTTAAGACAGCCAGCAGCGTCGTCGCTCTACGTGTCTCTCTCTCTCGCACACTTACGTATGTGTGTGTGGTGTGTGTTTTTAAGTGCACGTACATGTGTACGTGTATGTGTATGTATGTTTGCTTGCTTGTTGGTATTTTTATATGAATATTTCCGCCAACGCCCCCGTCTCCGCACCATTTGCCAAATGATAAGAGGGCTCATTGCCTATTTGCCATTATGGCCTTAATTCTGCTGAAAATATTTAAATACACATGTATGTATTATATAGATAGTTAGATAGATGTATGCATGCATTTGTTTGTGTTGTATTATTTATCGTTTCTAATCTAAAAGTGCAAATATTGATTTTCTACACAGACACACGCATACATGCATATGTGTGTGCTAATGTTTTCAACATATCATTTATCAATTGCCGTCATTGTTTTTTTTTCGGCACGCACAGGTGCCATTTGTTGTTAACTTTTTGGCTGCCAAAGAAAACTGTGACGTACATATTTTTAATAAAGATACTTTTAATGAGATAAAGCACAATTTTATAAATAAAATACAGTTATTCAATTCGAACTTAAAAATAATAATAAATACAAAAGTAAATAATCAACAGCTCTCGTTTAACCTCATTGATTTTAATTAGGAAATATATATACATTTCTTAAAGAGTATTTCATGATTTCTATATAATTGCATTAGTAATAGGAACCAGTTTCAATGGGTTATCAACTCGATCGCCTACCTATCTTAAGGTCAAGATCAACCACAGACGATAAATTAAAATGTACACATATTATATATTCTTATATACGGTAAATATAAATATATAACATTTCTTGCGATCTTGGTGAAATAAAACACATCTTGAAGATTTGTATGGCACAAGTAAAAAGTTACATTTGTAAAATTGTCATCATGGCGTAAACTTATTATTTTCGTATCAAGTGTAGTTGTTTTTTTTTAATTTAATATTTTTTCTGTTTCCCTTTTACGTCTTTCTTTGTTTATATGCGCACCGTTTTGTAGTCGTTGCCGTTTACTGTTGTTGTTGTTGTTGTGATTGCTCTCGCTCTTTGTTGCCATTATTATTGCGGGAAATTCCCTGCATATTTACATACATACAGACATGCATACGTGTGCCCAACTCACACACACACACACATGCACATTTAATATACTGTTGATAGTTTGAACTGTGTGCGAGGCATTTTGCAATTGTTTCGATTTCATATGCCACTTTGGACGGCTTATCGCTATCGGTATTGACATTGTCCGAAATTGAAATTATCAACAAATGAATTTTTTGTCGCCAAGCCCAGAAAGCGTTTCCCAGGCTTTCGCGTCGGCGATAAGCGAGCCCCCTCCCCTCCCCCTCCCACCAAACGCCACCTTTACACCGCCCCATTCCACCTTTAGCTGGTTTGTCAATTATTTATTTTTTCACGCCCAAATGAACAGCATCTAAAAATATAACTCAAATTGTGGTTGTTATTGTTGTTGTTGTTGTTGTTGTTGTTGTTGTTGTTGTTGTTGCTGTTGTTGCCTTTGACTCCGCTTTGATTATTTGCACATTGATGAAGAGCCAAAGAATCAGGCAGAAAAAAAAATTAGAAGAAAAATAGGAAAAACAGAATTCAGATGACACGCCGACAAATTGAATACCCTTCATTGGGGAGATCGGAGTTCATCTGCTCACAGCTAAGCTAATATGTAAGATGATAAACGTTCGCGTCAGCTGTAAATGAGACAATACTATAATTAAATTTATATTTTTTAAAACCTTTTTTAAAATGTTGTAGACTGTCGAAGGTCCCCTTTAAATATATAAATAATAAGAATACCTACCTATTGTTTAACGACATATATGATATAGATAAGAGACAGATAGGAGATCTTGGCTACATTGATTTGTCTGATGCTGATGCTGATCAGCAATATTCTTATATAAATTTACAAAATATACGCTATGCATTCGAAGATGTTTCCCTTCTTGACGACAAAATTATAATATGCTCTCTGCAAGGGTAAAAGAATGTTCATATATAAATAAATAACCCGTATTAATGTACATAAAAGTATTATCGTTTCTATTCTGGCCACTTGCGGCCAAGTAAGATATTTATACCCTGATAACGAAGATGGAAGAGTATATAGTGTTCTTCCGGCATTCTATCCGTCCGCTTTTTTTGACATCACTACAACTAGACACTTGAATCTTGACGTGTGTAGACAAAGCGTTAACCAAAAAATAAAGAAAAGGGAAATCGATAACGATAACCCCACAAGAGTCATCATAACTCCTTTAAGAAATCGAATAAAATCTATATCTTCCCCGATTTCATAGCTAAATTCACACAATTGAAAATACATATTAATAAATGCCCACTTCCCTAGAAGATTCCATGTTATCAGCTGGTATTAGACTGTTGTCAGAGTATTCGGCAGTCGGTTATGCCAGACTGTTTGGAGAGAAGAGTAGAACCGGTGGTGAGGTGGAGAAGTGGAGAATGTGTGGAAGCACGTTTCTTCCTCTTCTGTCGCTGTTGTTGCCCCGTTTTGAAATTCGCGCTAATGACGTCAGTCAAGGCCTGACGTCTGCAGAAAATTCCGCAAAACGCCTCTTCAAATTATTGGCAAGCAGCGGCCCCACAAAAACAACAGCAACTACAGAAACAGCAACAACACCAACAACAGAAACACCAACAAGAAACAGCAACAAGAAACGGCAACACAAAATAGAAAATAGAAAAATTGAAAATAAAATTAAATTATTTTCGTTCCATTTTTGCGCGTTGTTTCCATTTTATTTCATGTCTCTGCATTTGATTTATAATATTTCATTTATACTTATACATTTTGGATTTCTGTTCTTTTTTCTTTCTCATCTTTTTCTTTTTACCGTTCTGTCTTTTTTTCTTTTTTACACAAAGTGAAAGTTGTTTTCCATGTTTTTGTTTTTGTAGTAGTGTATTGTATATAGCACAGTTATTTTCTTATTCGTTTCTTTTTGAACGCATTGTCTTCGGGAATTTTGGGAACGGCTCCGTATGTTTTCTGTTTCACAATTCGACTGTCTCGATTGTGCAAGAAGGGGGGTGCTGGGGAGTGAGGCATATGCAAGGGGGGCTGCCACATATAATATATATGTACTATATACTTTTTTTTATTTTGTTTCATATGTATATATTTATTTATTTATTTTGTTTTTTTGACATGGCAGACAACTAGATTTCCGGTCAATGCATTGATACTTCAAATAAGCGGCCTTCAAAGAATGGCAATACGGTAATCTATACAGCGAGACTTAACACACACACACACACCTACCTACCTAATATTGATTACTTAACTGATAAAAATAAACGTGATAGACACGAATCGAATGGCGTCAGCATGTTTGCTGTAATTGTAAAGGTCGATCAAATATATACTTTAAGCTATTTCAATGTTTTCCGATTAGATACCAACAATCAATTTTACGTTGCTGCCATCCACTTTTAACACAAATGCTGAATCGATTTACAATTTTAAATATAACAATATTTAATATTTTTGCTCTGATATCTGTCATTAAAAAGCCGACCGGAAAAACCCCAAATTGAATGCATTCTTTATGCACCGCCAGATGATTAACCTTTAAATAAGCTGTTCAACTGCTCGGGAAACCCAAGAACACATTTCTTTTTCCCTTTATACCATGCACCCATTAAAAACGTGTAAAAAGGGTGTAAGGTGTATATATTCTTGATTAGCATCAACTGTCGAGTCGATTAGTCCATTTTTGTCTGTCTATCTACAGGAATGAGAAAATCTCAGGGAGTTTAAGAGATGAAGATCTAAAATTTTGAATATAAGCTCTCGTATAACATACGCAGATACTCCGTTTTAACGATATCGATAAATATCGATTTGTGTTAGCAATAAGAACCACAATTTTTGATATATACATTTCCATATACCTTGACATACTATTGAGAGTATCAGGGTATCTTCCAGTCGAGCACGCTCTACTAAGGCATTCTTACTGCTTGTTTTGTTTTTGTAAATCTTTGTGTATGTAAATTTTTCACAAAGCACGCAAAGCGACGCCAAAGTTGTGCACGAAAAGCATTTTAATGAATGGAAATTTTGGTTCCGTTCAATTGCAAGAAGATTCGTTCCATCATAAAATTTTTAGATGTGTTTGCTCATAAATTTAATTACTTTATACAATTTTGTTGTTCTTTTGGAATAATGTTGGCTTTTGGTGTTTGTGTCGTGAGAAATAAATTCAATTACCTGAGCATATAATATGTATGTATGTGAGTTTGTGTGTATATACTCTCAGTTTCTTCTGTATACTAGCTGCAATTTTTGACGTCGATTTCCTTTCCTCGTCCATACGTATATCTATATATCTCATACATATACAAATATATATTTATATATTTCTTCTCTATTGCACATATCTCGTTAATTGTGAAGGTCGTTTATGTCTGCAGTTTGTTCTGTTCCATTCGGTTTTGTTCCTTTCGCTTGTTTTTGTCTGCGCTACACCATCGCCCCATTATGAAAACAAAACGATACAGAATCATGGAATTAATAGAAATTAAACAAATATAAATTCATTCAACCCCGCCCAGCGCATCCCCAGTCCACAAAGGAATCTCGAAACCAGCCCAAAACAACAATAAACACAACAATTTGAATATATATTTTAAACACACCGAATCTACGATACCCTTTCATAAATATATAGCTTAAAAACTGATAGAAAATATACGGAGGTGGTACCAATGGAAATGTGCCAACCATCGATATTTATCGATTCAAAAGCGTTTCCCAGCAGCAGGGGGAAAGCGATGTTGGACAACCAACATCATTGATCCATAAAGCAATGATAGCCTGAAGAATTTTGGGACATGATTTGGATCAAAATCCATACAGTATTGACACCTTGCAACAAATGAGACATCTATCAAATTTAGAATATAAATTCTCAAATACCAGCTTGAGCACAGACACATTCTCTTCTATACTTAAGTAATGGGATTATGATGTTCCGCTACAATGGTTCCGTAGCGATACAATCTTTTCGTGACAACTAGTATTAGTTCCGCTATTTGGCTTTTAAAACTAAATTTGGATTTTAGTTTCTGATTTCGATTTCGATTTCGATTCTCAATTTCAATCAATAAACATGCGGTTCGAATTCCGCTTTGACATCCTTGTCAGGACATGTGTTTATATTCAATAAAAGTTGTGGATAGAACTTTGACTATATACTCTTAGCTATATTCCAATTTGAAGTTCAGACGTTCTTAATTGTATGATAATGATTGTAAGGCAAGAGAATAATGGTGTCCATTTCTTGCAGAATCTTACAAAATTAATATTTGGTTCATATTTTGTAGAGTCACTCAATATTTTCAAGATATTTAATCTATTCTCATTTGTAAATCGTTTGCAATAAAAGCTAAACAACAAGAAAAAAAAACATTTTTCATCATTTTTGTGTTGTTGATTTTAATTGCTGCTTAATTTTGAGTTTTCTGGCGTTCTTCGGAATGTTGTTATCATGTTTGCTTCTGGGGCAGACTTTCAAATAAACAAATTCTGGAATATATGTATGTGTGTGGTGTGTAAGTGTGTTTAGGTGGATGTGTGTGTGTGTGTGTGTGTGATGTGTGCAGCTAACAACAAATTCAGCTGTCTGTTCTTGTGGAAAATATATAAATATTATTTATGACTGTGGCAATTTTAATGGCGCCATGTTAAATGTGCCATCCACAAATTTAATGCCAATGCTTTATTATTAATACGTTTATTTTATTTATTTATTTTTTTTTTGCATAAATGTTTGCATTTTATTACTAAACTCGTATTTCGCTTTTCTCATGTTGTGTGTGTATTTGGCCTGCAAAGTTTATTAGATGTTTTTATTAATTTCGTCAGCAGTTGTTTTTTTTCTCAGGTGAGCTGAAAATCCCAAATTGCGAGGGCCGCTCAAATACTTAAAAAATTGTATTTTAATTTTAATTTAATCCCCGCGTTGATGGCTGCGATTTATTTTTTGACACGATAGGCCATTAAGTGAATATAGTATAGAATATATATGTTATATATTTGATACTTGCTGGCTGACATGTTATTTGGATTTTGAATTAATTTTATTCCCTAACAACTCTTTCACCTCAGCATCTCATTTATTTTCTTCTCATTTGCTATATTTATTTTTTTGTTTTGTTTTTTTCTTGTGCTGGCTTTCAAATATTTCATTCAATTTTCGATGCTTTTGTGCAACACCCACACAAAAGTTTATTTTTAAGCGATTTATAAAAACGTGAGAGCGAAAGAGACACAGAGAGAGAGAGAGAGAGAGAGCGCAAGCACGAGTGAAAGAGAGAGAGAGATGTAGAATATTCAACACAAATGCAAAATAATTCTTTTACTTTTCGCTTGACCAAATTGTTTTTCCTTTTTTATGCGCCGCATCCATTGAGAATATTTAATAAGGGTATAATGAAGATGTGCAAATGTAATAGACCGAATTTATATGACGACCATATATATATTCTTGTCGATATATTCCATACGCAGATCAAATTTATTGAATTTTATCGAAATGAGCCCCTATATCGATACAAATCGATTACCAATAACATAAAAATCAACATTTATCTATATAATATTGATCATATTTATAAATTTTGCTACTCACCAAATATCACAGCCGAAAGATCAAGCACTTTCTCACTCATACAAATGTCCTGGATTAAATATCTGAGTTCAGAGTGTCTGCTAGTCGAGCTCTCTCGACTCGAGCATTCTTACCGCTTTCGTCTGTATGCGTGTCAAAAATATTGAATGATTTAATTGATTCGTTTCACTCGTTGGCAATAATGCGTAGGATATACATAATCTATATAATATATATAGTATATAGTACTGTCCCGACTTGGACTCCAGATTAGAATTAGGCTTTGCGGCTTAAATATATTTGTTCACATATATTTATAGGTTTCTGATGTTTTCTCTTTTAATATAACGCATACGTCACGTTGCTCAGTCGGAAATTACAATTGTTTGTTCCTTTTTTTTTTTAAATATTCTCTCACACATAGACATAAGCACGTGTATGTGTGTGTGTGTATATGCCTAGCATATTTCGGTTTTGGCTGTGTTGAAAATATTTTCGAAAATATTTTCAGTTTATCGCTGGCATTTAAGGCGTTCAAACGCGTCAAAAAAATAAAAGAAAAGTAAATTGTGTGCGAAGAAAGTTTCTGTTTTGATAAATAACTTTTGTTCTAATTAAAAATATGACTTAGCTCGTGATGGAAATGTGCCTGAAAAAAGTCCAGAAAGAAAAGGCTCTTCAAAATTGTGAAATACCTTAAGTTAAATTGTGAAAAAAAAACTTCTTAAAAGTACTGCAACTACAGCAAATCTTAAAAGTAAATAAAAGCACGGAAGACTTAAATAAAAGCAACAAAATAAACGGCGCGTATAACAACTGTAAAAACTACTTAAAAAAGATTATACGTATATATATATATGTATATATATATAACAAGTCATTAAGAATACATATATGTATGCATATATTCTTTCTGCTAAATATAACAAACATCATCAATCAAAATAGTAAAAAAAAAAAATATATAAAAAATAATAGACAAAAATTTTTTGCGTTTTTTTATACACGTTTCTAAGTGCGAACTTAAATCAATAAATACTAGATATAAATATCGCACCTATTTCATCTAAATCAAAATGTAAGTGGTTTAAAAATGTTTTAATAATTTAATTATGACGGAGAAGTCTCCTCGATCAGCATCACTGGTCGAGTCGATTTAAACGTGTTCGTTTCTCACTTTCTCCGTTTTTTCTTTCTGCCGGCCGGACCGGATCAGTATGTCATATAGCTGCCTTAGGAACAATCGGTTGTATATTTCATTTTTTAATTTACAGTGATATTTATTTGTTGACTACGAGCGGCTCACATAGTATTTATTTCTTATTATAACTTTAAGCAGCAACGCTTATGCCATGCATCAAAGTGACAGTAATATCTTTCTATATCTCTGCATATACATATATATTTATATATATATCTGCATATATGTATTTATGTCATCCTTGACACTGTCCTAGAAACAGCCCGTAGCAGCACGCGATCTCAATAATTCGCTAGAGGATGACTCTTCTATTTTTACCCTCTTAATATTATTAATTTCTTTCTTTCTTTACTTGCAAAAAATAAAATAAAGCTGAGTAATTTTTTATGCCGTGCATAAGTTGAGTTGTGTCATAAATATTTTTAAATTTTCTGTCATTTGTTTATTGTCTTCGACGCTTAACCAAATTGTTTGATGCTCTTTGATTTTTGCCAGGTTGATTTTATTTTGCATTTGAATTGTGCCCTTGTCTCTGAGTCTCTTAGTCGCTGTGCTAAATCTGGCCATGAACTAATCGCCGATGGGGGGGCGATGGGTGATTTTAGCTCTTCCATTCATGTTTTCCTTCTATCTTTCTGTTGGGATTTCTTTTGTTAATTCAATTAGCGTGCACTGAACAAAAAAAAGCCCCACAAAAACTCTATTAATGTCAGAACTCAAACAAGTGCGCAGGAAAGCGCTAGTCGGGAGAGCCGGACTAGGGTATACCCTGCACCCAGCTGTGAATCATTTTGCTTCAATTAAATACCGTTTCTAGATTTGCATAAATTGAACAACTTTTTTTTACCCAAGCAGGTCATGACAAATATTTTGGATTTTCAATGTATTGTAAAATGTGGAGCTGTTAAGGTAAATGTTACTTATTAATATTCACCTAGCTATCGGGAAATTTAGTACATATTATTTCGGTTCCAAGTTTTGGTTTAACAAAAAAAAAAAATACATTTTCGTTTTACTCAAAATTTCTGCGAAGAACAGGAAAAAAATATATAAGAAAATAATGAATGTGCCGAAGAGTATGAAGTGTTGTGTGCATCTGCTCCGTCAGCGCGGCTGGATCCGAAGTGCCCAACACCTGGGCACGGGCAATGCTGTGCGTAATTATCGCATGGATGACAAGGGGTGGGTCGGGGATGAGGACTCGGAGGTGCAACGAGTTTACGGGGAGGAGAATACCTTCGATCCACGCTACAATGATCGTCACTATAAGATCTATCGACGTCATGAAATGACCACCTTTCAGGACTCGGACGCAAGGCGCCGACGCATCGTGCACGACGCCGAGGAGCATCAGCGTCGCCAGGAGCGCATTCTGCTCGATAATAAGAATCGCTGGGAACAGCGCACCGAACCCAAATCACCGGCGATGCTCAACTATGAGCACAAGTATCTGATTGAGGGCAAAAGCAGGAAGCACCGCCAACGCCAGACCGAGGAGGAAAGGATCGCCGAGGAGTACAGTCGCCAGCGGCGCTATAAACGCCTCAGCGAGGTGAAGCGTCAGGCGCGCGAGCTACGTGAATCACGCAAGGGCTACAAGCTGCCCAAGCCACAGTTGAATCGATTACCCGCAATCAGGTCAGCCAACGAAAAGTGGTTGGAGCAGCGTGCGGTCGAAGATGAGGCAAAATATTGGCATACGTGGACCACCTGTCCGAATGAGCGACGCTGCCGAGAGACAGCGGCGGCCAACGATGCTGATGATGCCGCCCCGGGTGACCGAACGATAAATCGACGTACTGGTTTTGTGCAACCCAAAGTGCCGTACGACAGTAGCGTGCGTCGCTATCAAACCGACTCCCAACAGCTGGCGAAGGCGCACAGCAGCCAGCCAACACCATCGCTGGCACCACCTGGCTACACAACCGGTGATCTAACCCACAATCGCCGTCGCCCCACCGGCATCGAGAAGCAATATCGCAGATCTCTGAATTGGGGGGCGGCGTCGGCAGCCTATCGTCTACCCATATCCCGGTTGAAATACCCAACGCGAAAATTTGCGCGTTTCGTCCGTCCGAAGGGAGCTCGGAAAAGTGTGCAGCCGCCACGTTATCGATTGTCCATCAGGGCGAATCGACTGCAGCGTCAACGTACGCCCATCGATAGCTTCTCCCGTACACTGGCCGTGAGCACTCGCTATACGCCGTACACTGAATATACCGGCTATGCCCGACAGACCGTCTGCGATATGTGGCAAAATTTTACAGCGGCCCACAATGTCAGGCCCATCGAAATTCCCGAGTGTAAATAAGGTTTACCGATAATTCTAAATTGGTGACTACCGGCTGAAATACGAATACAAAAATTATCTTGATAATATATATACATATATTTATATATATATACAAACCTGGATCAGATGATCGTCGTTATGGACAACTGCCGTATCTCTTTTCTCCGGCATTATCTTATGAAATTCATCACACACGTTTTGAATAAAGCTAATCATTTTTTATACAATGGACGTGGAAGTTCCAAACCTTTCAATGCCATGACTACTCTCAAAAGTTAAAGCCCTTTGTTTTATATTAATACTGCTCGTAAATTAAATGATGCGACTCGATTAGGAGATATACACTACAATATAATAGCTTGTTTATATTAGTTTGTTGAATCCATTGAAAATTATTTTTGCTTTTACTTAACCTCTCTTTTACGTCAAAATCCAATGGGACACCTATTTCCAATTGGAATGTCGCCGTCGATAATGCGCCGTTGCCTTTCTCCTATGCTTGTTTAATTTCACAACGGCCGTTTTCGCTGGCGACAACTTGCCGGCAGTCGCCGTTATCCGCTTCCTCCGCACGTTCGCCGTCATTTTCAACCGTCTGCCGCTGATAGGCGCCGATGCGGACGCCTTGCAAATGTAGCTGCTCTAGAACATTTTTCGCTAAAGCGAAGCTATTCGTAGCAGGCAAAACTAAGTCAGATATATTTCCAACACGCCTGCACAATTGATTTTATTCACTACGAGTGAGCTCTTCTCGTTTAAGCTGATCACACAAATGATATCGATCGATATCGATATTATATGTTAGTACATAATCGCATGTTAAGCTACAGATGTTATGTTACAGTCGCAGTGCTACACTAGTGGCCTGCTAAACTTCAAATTATGGTCTACAATTTGAATTAAAAGTTAAAAATATGAATTTAAATGAGATTGATGTAGACAATAAACTTGAAGTTTTCTTCGCATTTTTTATTATTACTCTTCTCTTTTTTGTAAACAAAATCTGTGTTGTCTAGTTATATTTATACTCAATTGGGTAATCGGCAATTGATTTGTAGCGATTGGTTTAAACAAATTTGAATGCACTAGAGTTTTGATAATATTAATTTAAACTAATACATTTTGTTCTGTTGTCATTTTGCAGGTCTGCAGCTGAGACAAATGATGGCCTAAAATGGCGGCTACACCACCAATGCCGCCCGGAGCAAATAATTTCCAATTAAATGGCAATTCTCCAGAACAGCAGCAGCAGCAGCAACAAGAAGAGAATAAAACCAGCAACAAGAGTATCAGCAACAACAACAACAATAATAAAACGCCCAACATAGCCGAGGCACTGCATCAATCGTTTCAATTCAAGGCACTGCTCAACGCCGACGAGAAACAGGAGAGGGACACCAATAGCAATATCAACAGCGATAGCAATAGCAACAGCAACAGCGATGAGCAATCGAAATCCAGACTCAGCTGTGCATGCACAAATATTAGTATTATGCATCTGTTCCACGAGATGAAGCAGGAGTTTCCCACGCTGCCCGATGCTCTAGTGACGCAGTGCGTCAATGAGAATTGCCATCAGCGTGACAATTGCATACAGATGTTGCGCAAGGAACTCAGTCTGCATCCATCACCGGTGCAATCGTATCCCGCCAAGGTCGTACAACAGCAACAGCATCTCCAGCAGCGTCCACTGAAACCGCTACGCGCCGCGCCCGCAACGCCGCCAACGGCGACACCAACGACGCCAAAAGCAACGCCAATAACAACGCCAACGACTCCGACGCCGCCGATGCCGCCAACTGCCCGTCCGCGTCCCACCACACTAAATCTGCAACGTCAGATCAATGCACAGTTGCAGCAGAAGCTACAACAGAGACAACTGCAACAACAGCAGCAGCTGCAAGCGTTGACAACGCCCAACAAGCCGTTGCGTCGTGCGCCGCCGCTGCCACCGTTGCCGCCACCCAGGCCAGCAACTACAATAGCAACGACAACAACAGCATCTACAACAACTCCCAGCTTCTCCAATGATTCCTCATGTCTCACCAGCCCGCTCAGCTCCAGCGAGTCTGAGTTATCGCTCAACGTTTCCTTATCATCGCCAACGACAGCAGCACAGCAGCCGCAGCAGCAACAGCAACGGCAAATACGCTCACCCATTGTACGGCATCGGTCAGAGATTAATTTGCAACCGGAACCGCCGTATGCACGCGAATTTCTAACGAATGCCGCCGTTGCCGTTTCGCCCGTTGCCGTTTCGCCCGTTGCCGCCGTTGCCATTTCGCCAACGACAACAACAGCAACAACACCATCGTCCTCGGGCCAGAGCACGCCCAGCGGCAATCCACGTAAAAGTTTCACCTCACTGAATTTAACGTTGCGGCAACCGCTGTCGCCGCAGTGTGGCCCAAACAATAACAACAGCAATAACAACCACGGCATTGCCGTTCAGCCGTCCACGATAGACATTACCGCCGGACCGGCAGCGAGTGGTAACGGCAGCAGCGGCATCACCTATTCGAGCAGCAGTTTCGATGCCCGTCGCGGCACCCACAAGAATTTCCAGCTAACCGTCACCGACGAGGGCAGCGTTTTCACTGCCGGCTGCGTGCGTCCCCAAACACCGCTGTATCCACCTTGTGCCATGCTGGCCAACGATGTTGCAACACCACCAACAGCAGCAACAACAGCAGCACAACAGCAACAACAGCAGCTGTGGGAGCAACTGGCAACGGCTGCAACAGCCGATATGAATACCCAAGTATTTCCATATGCCACGCTGGCACAGAAATATGTTGTCGCCACCAACTACAACAACAATCATCTGCACAACAGCAACAACAACAATAGCAACGACAACAGCCCCAGCGTCACGCATATGCCTCTCTATGAGGGCATCGTTCCCGAATCCGATCGAGCAGGTGAGTTGCCCTATTGCCGCACTGATAATGAATAATGAAAAGAGACAGCTGCACATGGATGCCAGAGCGTCTTCTTAGCTTTGAGATAAGCCAGGTTATCAGTAATCGATTTTGCTAACCGTTTGAAGCATGGTTTAACTACCTCTACACAACACCATTCACATCAACAAAAATGCATCGATAATAAGTTATCGGCAGTAAATCGAAATCGAAAAACAAAGTTAATTGATTATTTATACGTTTTATGAGGAACTGAGATTAAGTCAAGTTTGTAAGTATAACTTTATCGAAAGTGATCCCAGGCATTCTTTTCATAGTTTAACTTCTAGATTGATAGCAGATTCAAAATGTAATAGGGAAACAGTATGTTGTTCCAATAAATTGGATATTTATCTTAATTTGATAAGAAGTTTGATGTGTCTTGATTGGATTATATAGTCTTCTCTTCTCACTCTTTGTGTGTCAAATTAATAATTGATGGAAACACACTTTTCCACTTTTTTACCATGCATTTTAGCATTATTTTGAATATAGTAATGAATAAATACAATTCGCGGAAATCCGATTATATGTATTAAGTTCCACATGTTTCGCATGTCTGAAATCGCTTGTTATCTACGGCATAATAATTGTTTGGAAGGGGGTTTTTTTTATTCTTTTTTGTTTAATCACTGACAGAGGCAGAGGCGGCCTTATCAGGCAGGCGAGCAATTCTGTTTACAATTGATAACAAATTGAATTACGCCCCAAAATTTGTTGCGCTCTTGTCTTGGCTGTGTTCAGAATTTGTTTTGAGTGTGGAACGGGAAATTCGCTGGGTATTCAAATAGTATACATTTGTATTTGCAATTGCGGCTAGGCCATTCAAGATAAGCTTATTGTGAAACGAAATTCGTAAGAATTGTTTGTTCAAAATCTATTTATAGCAAATAACCACGTTCATTTACCGTTGTTCGATTTGTGCATTATGGTCGCTCTTTTACCTATATACCTATCCAACTTACCTATATACCCATATACCTTATGGTTCGCCCACGCTTCGCATGTATTAATCTTATATATATATATGTATATATTTGTTTTTATGCATGTATGTATGTACATAGGAACCCGGCACATTATTTGCTGTCGAAATGTCTCTTGTCTGGTTTCTTTGGCCTTTGCACATTTCTCATTTGTTGGTTGCACAGTGAACGCTCGCTAATATTGCCAACAGTCGGTTAGTGATTTGATGTTCTTAATATTTAACAGATTTTGAATCTATGTTGAATGCGGGATTAACCAAGTAAAAAAAAATAGCTTTATGATTTTTAGATGTGAGTGAACACTGTGTCTCTCATTTTTCTCGATGCTTTCGAGCAGCTTTTGTGCCCCTCGATTCACTCTGCTTCTTGCTTCTCCATCTTGCAACGGTTTATCGTATTTTATTTATACTACAGCCATTTTGCTCTCTATTCTGCATTGATCTTGTTGTTGTGGTTGTTTGTTTTTGTTGTTGTTGTTTTTGTTATTTCGACTCGTTCAAGTTCAGGGAAAAGAAATGCGAGAGAGAAACGAAGATAGAGACAGAGAGTGAATGCGAACTATTCGAATTCGATTTCATCCATTAGATCGTAAATGGCGACAACGTTACGCAGCGTGGGCAGTTAGAGAGCGCTTTTCATATAATGATCATTATCATATGATTATAATGATGATAACTTGTCACGCTGACATTTAATCACGAGGTCCCCGAATATTGAAGCACTTAAAATTCATATTAACGCATTTACATTTTAGCCAAATATTTAAGAGATTGAAATTTGCAGTTTTTCGTTGTTGGAATTCTTCGCACATTTTGCCATTAATGAATTAATTTATCAATTAAAATGTTTTCTTTTTTTATTTTGCAAATGACGTACAATTTTCATTCGCATTTCTCTCTAGAATAAATGTCGCTATATAAGCATAGATAAATGTATATATATATAGCATATATATATGCTCTATATGTCTGGCCGTGTCTGTTCGATCCTCCCTTGGCCCATTGCCCTGTTTGCTATTTCCGCTAGAAATCTATCAAAATGTCTAAAAATATTTGCATGCTTTCAATTTATTTTATTTAAACTGTTTGTCTTGTGTGTGTGTGTGTGTGTGTGTGTTTGAGTTTTGTTCAAAACCAAATTTTGAAAATTGTTTCAAATCGGGCGATGCGCGCTGCTTATTTTCGGCCGAAATAAATTATTATTAGATTGATTTGTCGGCGTGTTTGTTGCGCATTTTGACTAAATTTAAATTTTTGTTTATGAACATTTAGCGAACGCAAAAATGCGCGCCATTATTTTTAGCAACAAACAGAGTAATAAAATGTGAGCTATCCAGCCATTTATATCTCGAAATCTATATATATATATATAGATATATGTATATCGAGTAGATGAGATTAACTATAAACTATCATTTATATGATGTAAAACCATGGGGAAGAACAGGCTTACGATACTCACCCGTCTCCTGACAGGACATTGTAGACTAGACATCTAACTAAACGAGGTATTTATCGTACCGAGCTAGGCAGGTTTTGTGAGGTAGCGTGGAGGAATCCTCAATGCACACTCGAGCAGAGAGTGTCGCCTTAACCAGGAGAAGATGCAGCAGAAGCCCTCAGCCCAACAAAAATCCTAGCATTTATCTAATGATCTAATAAATGATATCAAATAATTGAAATTCTCTTTATTTTTTGTATTTTTTTGCAGTGCATGCGGCGACAATTGAGCGGCAAAAGACGAGACGTGACAAGCTGGCAAATGCGCTGCGTGATAACAAGAAGCGTCTGCTTAGCCTGGAGCAGGAGATCAATATTTTGACCGAACCGGTGCCCCTGGGCGAATCCGAAAGACTGGATAGAGATATCAAGAAACTGACTGATGACTGTCAGCGGCTGCTCAACATAATCAATGGTAAGTTGACAAACAAACTACAAATAAACATCACTCATCATTCATATGCATATTGATATCATTGCAGATCCGCAACTGAATGGCACTGCGATAGACTGCGCACCCAATTCCAATTCCATGAATCGTCAGCTATCGGCACCAGCCGGAGCACAGGTCCAGCCATTCCAGCAGCAGCGGACAACCGGACAACTGGCGCCGCCGGCCAACGTTCAATCACGCAATCCGATGCCGCCAAATTCGTTGCGGTTGCATTCAGTGCCGTCAACGGCGACGCAACCACATCTCGATTTTGTGCAACATCATGCAAGTAGCGTTAGTGCGCCCAGTTCCGCCTGCCTGACGCCACAGATGCAGCAGCAACAGATGCAGCAGCAACAGATGCAACTGGAACCGCCACCCACCTATGCGCAATACTATCAGTTTCAGCAGTTTCTGCGAAACCAGCGAGCAGCAGCGGCAGCAGCAGGATCACCAGCATTCGTATTACCACCAACAGCAGCCGCATCAGCAATGGGAGCAATGGGAGCATTGGGTGTTCCCCAGCAGCACGAGGAAGAGGAGGAGTCCCTGTCCGAATCGGAAGTTGACGAAGGCGAGGAGCCACTGGATATGTGGGCCTGCAACTTGTGTACATTCCGCAATCATCCGCAATTGAATATTTGCGAAGCCTGTGACAATGTTAGGATCCAGCCGGGTATGATACGCATTTTGCATAGCGAAGCCGCTGCCACGCCCTCGCCAACACCTACGCCTACAATGGCAGCCACAGCAGCAGCTGCAGCTTTGCACACGTGATCAATACTGATGATCGCTGGCATGCCCATTGTTTATATATATATATGCTATTTATAAGCTACATACATACACAGATACATATACATATATTAAATGTATATATGTATGTATATAGTTTCTATGTATATGTAACCAAAAAGTCCTTTAACATGCATGGGTTGCCAGTTGTTGGCATGTTGGCAACTTTGAAACTGTGATAGCATTTAAATTAGTTTCCAAGTTAAGCAAAGAAGATTTATGGCTTGCATGCAGCCTCGAAAGACATATGTACAAATGTATGCACATGCATACATTCATGCATAAATCCAATTATATTAAAAGAGAAAAAGAAAACCGAACATTTTGCTCACTTCAAAACACCGCCTAAACTAAAACTAAAACTAATATAGTACATAATATCATTTATATATTACTTCTAAACACATAATTAACCCTTAAGTAATGTACAACAAGTAGATATGTTCAATTTTAATTAATTATTTATGTTAATTGCATATGCCTCATTATTATTGTTTTATCAATAGCGCTGTATTACTAAGCAAGCAAAGTTTATTATTATTTTAAGCGGCCTGCATCAATAAAGAAGTCATTATTTAAATATGTTTATTGTTGTTGTTATGCGGTTGTTTATGCTTATTCATTATTGTTCGTTGTGTTTGCATTGATTATAATAATAATACTTTGTTTTATTTACAGTGCTCAATCGCGAGGACATACATATAACGCTGTCGCCCGGCGAAAATCGTAAGAACTAATATAATCAATCAAAATCATCTTTCTCTCCATCGTACTTATTGCATCTATAATCGCAGGTATTATACACTCCTGGATACTATCATGACAGTCGGCCCAACTCTAACAAATCAACACTAGATAACATTAACTCACACACAAATGTATAATATTTAATATTTATTTTTCCTTTTGTATTTATAATTTAAATATATTTTACAGACGCTGCTGGCAGCGTTTATTGTATATACAATGTGTAAAGATGTAGGTGCGTAATATATCTATTATGCTATTTGTTGATTTTCTGAGTAAAGAATCAAGACTTGGTAGCACATCTAGTGAATTTTAATTGTTAATTGTGTACATTTGTAAATATATTTATTGTAAAAGTACTTGTGTTAGGTTTTCTACAAGAAACTGCAAATAAACAAGATGCAAATATATTGTAAGCTTTGCTAAATTAACGTTGTAATGTACGAAATTAAAGTGAAATGAGAAAACGATTTTGCGATGTTTTTCAAATACGGTATGACTATCGACATATAAATTAATCGATGTAAATACATTAGAAAGTTATATGTGTAATCGATTTCGCTTGCTTGCCTTGACTCTTGAGCTGCCCATAGCTGTAGAACGGACATCAGCCGATATTAACAGTTTCCCACAGCTATCGACTCTCGTTTCTGGAAATTGAAACTACTTACAGATGCACCAGCTATCAATTTCGGGTACTTTGATTGTTAGAGATGAGCGGTAAATATTCGACTACTCGCTACAAGAGACAGCTATCGTAAGACGCATTTACCTAAGGCTGGAAGGCGAACAGCGAATTTCATAGAGGCGTACAAAAATTGCGGGAGAATTTCCAGTTTGCAGTTTTACGAGGCTGTTGTAGGCGCTGAAAGTTTGGTTAAGAATCATTCGTTGTTATACTCTGAAACCGAAGGTATAAAAGTTTACTGAAGGCATTTTTAAACTATATATATAAGTATTCAGTATTTATATAAGTATGTGAAATTGCTTTCATTTGCAAATAAAGCAGACACAAATATATTGTAAGCTTACAAATTCTTGAGAAAAATGGTTTAGTCTGACGTCACATATTATTAACAGAGATATCGGAACTTGGCAATGTGTAATTTAGTTCATTCAGGCAACATGCGTGAGCTGTCGACCTATCGTGTCTGCTCACCAGCTATCGATATGGGGACTTTGATTGTTAGATATGAGCGATGTTTAAGTTGGCAACTTGCTGCCAGATGTTCTCGGTATAAGTATCCGAATACAAAAATATTGTGAGTCTCTAGCGAACTTAACAAAAGCACACAATTTTCTTGGGGCATTTGTCCAGTTTTGCAGTTTTTCAACTATTAATCAATTAAAACTCGGACAGTGCGCAACGTCTCAAAAGTAAATTTGACGGCAAAAATAATGCAAGCACTTCAAGTGCGTTGCTCTCGTGCGCACATGGCGTCCAATTCAGTGCCGTCGAAGAAAACATTTCGCTTCAGAGATGATGTGGCCTACACAGAGGACGACATATTGATCAAAAAACTATTTCTATTCAATGTGGCACCAGAGGTATGAAAAAGCAACGCGAACTCATCGATTGTAATTTCAGCTGTGCATTTTATTCAATTAATTCACAGCTGGTGCCAAAGCAGCTGGAAGCCTATTTCGTGAAATTTGGTTCTGTGAAGCGCATGCAGCTGTTTGGGCCGCCAAGCCTAGCCGGTGCCAAATACATAGGCGATAAGATTAAAACAAAAACTGGCTACATCTACTTTAATGATCCACGTAGCGCGGCCAGGTGAGTACAAGTAGACCATCTACATATATAAATGTCACAAATCTTCCTTCCCATAGAGCATTGAGGCGCACTGTGCACTATGTGGGTAGACGTCGGCTATGCGTCCGGCCCAGCGATAGTTGGCATCAGCCCGATGCTTTTGGCCCACCCACTCAATTGGTGGTGCCCGCATCCGACGAGCCAGTGGCTCCCATTATGATCCTTAATGATCATTGTCTGGAGTATATCGTACGTCTGCTGGTGCTATCCGATCGCATCCATTTTGCGCGTACTTGCGTCCGTTTTGAGAACGTTTTCCAGCAGGTGTCGCCAGCCCTCGACAAATGTGTGAAATTTGATGATTTGATGGAAATGACTTTGTGGGATGTACGTGATTTCTTCAAACTGTCCGGCCGTCACATTAAGCAGATCCTTGGCGTTATACCACAGCGGCATTCGAAGCGTATTTTTGAATTTATGGGCGCCCATTGCATAAATTTGCAGAAGATGAGCATTACGGCAACGAAACTAACAGCACACAACATGTACAAGACATTCGAGAAAATGAATCAGCTGCAGGATTTGCGACTGCGTGCTTGCGAGCTAACAAATGACTCTCTGCTGGCTCTGAAGGATTTGCCGGAACTCAAGAATCTCGATCTGTCTAACAATGAGAAGCTGACCGGACTGCATATGACTCGCTTGCCAGTCTCCCTTGAGTCGCTGACATTGACAAGCTGCACGGGTCTCAATTCGAAACTGTTGCCCAAAGTTTGCCAGGCACTGAAACATTTGAAGGCTCTACACCTGAAAGGAGTCTATATAACTGAGGTGCGCTACAAGCAGTTAGTTACCGCAAAGTGCTGTAACGCCTTGGAGACCATCACGATTAGCGATAGCGACAGCGAGTACAGCATGGTCCGTTCTAATCAGTACGAGCACATTGCCAAGCTGCCCAGCGTGCAAAATATTATTGTGTACTGCAATGATACGAACATGGTGCGACCCCAGCTGTTCGCCTGGCTGGAGGAGTTCAAGTCAAAGCAACTACAGCGCTTGGAGGTGCATGGATTGGACTGCATCAATGCTGACATGATATTGAATATAAGCAGGCTGAGCGCATTGCAGACACTTATTTTGGCCAACAATGATGCAGTTGACGATCGTGGCATGGAGATGCTGGGTGCACTGCATGAACTGGAGGAAATCAATCTCAAAAATTGTTCCAAGCTCAGCGACAATGCTGTGCTTCGCTTGATACTCGATTGCCACAAGCTCAAGATGTTGCATCTTGATTATTGCCCAATGCTCACTGGCAAGCTATTAACTGATATTATTTTCAAGGTGCGTTTTCAAGTACGGCAGAAGGATGTGAAGCGTCCGCTGCCCATCAAGATGAGTGTGTATGGCTGTCGGATGGATGAGAGCAGTCTGCAAAATGCGGATGTGGCTGCCAAAGACATCATTGATCTATCGTTTGCATTGCCCTCATCGTCAGAGCTCTGCTTCTTCGATTTGTCGGAACTCTTGGCGGACGATGATGCTGTTTATTTTTCGAATTGTCAACTGGACAGGGACAATTGGGACGATTTTGATTTAATGAACAATCAGTACGATGACGATTGGGACTATGACGATGAATATGATTATGATGATGATGATGATGATGATCATTATTACCATGATAGCAAGTATGATTCCGAATTGCCTGCGATTTTCTTTGGTGATGAATGTCTTTGGGATTAAAGCTATTCATCGGTGTATTATCAATATTCAATAAGTTAAAAGTCGAGGCACCAATTATGAAGTTGCTGTTTGTTGCCAAAAATATCATCGTGTGTTATTCTTAAAACACCTATTAATGAATTAAAACACACACAAAACGATCAAATCGTTTATCGTGGAAATACACTTTTTATTGCATTCTGTAAACATTTTATTTTATATTATAATTATTATTGTTTATACATATACATATGCGTATATGCGTATAATTTAATACATTTTGTTTCATATAGTTTAAGCTGAAGTTTGCTTTATTTAAAACCATCTCTCTAAACGCATTTCAATTTTGAAAACCTAAAAGTCGTTGTTTATTATATTGTACGTTTAATTCATTAATTAATTGATTCGAATTGGTTTCTTTGATTAAGCGCTAAATGTGGATTGGCTTGCTTTATTTTGTTCATTTGGAATTTGTTCTTTCCTTTTGTAACTTTAACAAGCAACATTTAATTGACTTGGGTGTTGGGGGGAATTGCACCAAAATTGAGCAAGAATAACAAAGAATATACGTATTAATTATAAACTACGAATTTGTTCCGGTGTAGACAAGTATAATTAATAATCTCATAAAGGTATTTAAGTATGTTGAAAGCACACTCAATTCAAACTAACTAACGAATAAACAACTATCAAAATAACACAAAACATAATACTTTGTTCAATGTGAGATTTGTGAAGCTTAAAATATATATATACATACATACATGCATATATATATATATATATATATAAATATATATAGCAACAATAATAGACGTTTTGAAATTGTTTTAACATTTTTTGCATCATATAAATATAAGTTCATAAGTAGTAATTTTTGAGTTAGTTGATTTAAGGAAGTTCAAAAACAATTGCTTGGCATATTTGTGTTTAAGTAGAGACTCAATCTTAGCCAAATTGGTGTTAATAAATGGTATATATATGTGTGTATAATTAATTAATTGCTGGCCAGTACTGGCCTCTCTTATTTAAAAGCTGAGCAAGTAGCAAAAATTGGGATTTGGATTAGGATGAAGTATATATATGCGGTGGAATGCTTGTTGTGGTTGACATGAGGCACACAGGACATCAACGGACATGGGTCTAAGCTAAAGCGCACTGCTCTTTCTCACTAAATTAAACATACTAATATAGTTAACATGTTGTTGTATGTGTCTTTGTCTATATGTGTATATTCTGATAAATTATTGTACTCTCTTGCATAATTTGTATGAACTAAATAATGTAATTGTCCAATTGCTTGTCTATATCAACTTTGGAGTATTTGTGTTTTCATTATTTTTCCTCTCTTTCGATTTGGATGTGTATTTTGTCTTTTTGCCAATTTTGGTTTGGGTTTGGGTGCTTAACAGCTTAGTGCGTGACCTCGTGGCCATCCTCATCATCGAGCATTTCGACAAAGGCGCGTGGCACAAGGCCCTTCATCAGTCCCTGCTTGCCGTACATGTAATCCTCGTTCACCGGCGAGCATTCAGTAACGAATATGACCTGTAAGATATGTGTAATTAAATCGTTAAGTATTTTGATGGTTGAGTTGGGTTGTTGGTAGTTACCTCATTTGCGCTTAGATTCAATTCGGTGTGATCCTTGGCATCGTAGGAGCAAAGGACGCGCGCACGCTGCATTTGATCCGTGCTGACATTCATGGATTGCATGGACTGATTTACTTTGTGACCAATGCCGCTGCTGCTGTTGCTGTTGTTGGTGTTGCCAGCATGGCGTGCTCCGGCAGAGGAACTCGATTTGACCGCATCGTAAAGATCGAGTGGTGTATATGGTGTTGGGCCTCCCAAGCTGATGGAAGACGCAGAGGCAGAGTTTTTTTTTTTAAATGACTTAACTTGACTTGTTTTTGGGGGATGGAAGAGGAGGGGCAAATGCTGCTGATGAAACCGTTGACACAAACAACAACAACAACAACAACAACAACTTAACAACGACTAATCGAATACCTAGAACAATTTATACAGAAGACTCCTCGACCCCCTTATACGCTTATATATATATATCGGACAACTAATAATGATAATAGTAGATTTGAACAGGTGTGTTGCGAAGATCATTAGTTAATTAAACTGTCGTTATGGCGCTCGTATCGAATTCGATCTCAAAGTCTTCCAGCAGATGCGTGAGTGCCTTGACTGGCCCAATATCAATGCTTTGATAGCCAGCCTCATTATCTTGATCTCGATCGTGTTGTTGATCATAATCGTAACCGTAATCGCTATCTAGTGCTAGTGCAGTGTCATTCGGAATAGAATCACATGATTGCGCCGAAATAATGCTGGGAGGCCCATCGACATCCTCGCTATTGATGCGTAGGCGTGGCTTGCCGGGCTGCATTCTGGAAGACCACAAAACATACACAACAACAATACAAACTGGAGCACCAAAACAATGCCTGGACACAGTGCAGGATAAATGCAATAGATACATAGATACATAAATAATTACATAGATGGTGCCGACTACTTAAGTGCTTAATTTTCCTATGTTCTTGATTCCAATCCGTAATATAGTTAATTGGAATGGTGTTTGTTTTGAGAATTTCTCGAGATTGCTTTAAGAACACTTTTAACTATATTATAACAATTGTATTATGCTTATTTTAAATTTATTCAAAAGAGGACTAAAGTATTTTGAGTAAGTAAGAAACGTTCTTAAAGTTATCCCAAAACGCTCTCAAAATCTCAACTAATTTGGATATGAACAACAGCAAGAAGTCGAAGAGCAGCTCTCGTTTACTTACTTGGCCAGCTCGCGCTGCAGTTGATCCATAACATCGCCGCACTGTTTGTAGTATCGCACCTGGGTCTGGATGAAGGCGTGCAGATGACGCAAATGGGATGCCTGTGAGGTGCTGATCCCGTCCAGCAGCAGTTTCGTTATCTCCGACTGGCGATCGAATTCGGCCTGAGCCACACGCAGATCCCGCTCCGCCTTGAATGTATGAGAACAGAATTTGTTAGATATATACAAATTTAAAAAGAAAATATATTTAAAATGTAATATTTAAAATAACAAAAACTAAAAGAAAACAATACACTGATGGGGCGGTTGGATACCTGTTCGAAGACAGCTTCGGGCGAGATACCATCTTTCTATTAACATATCCACAAAGCGGCACACAAAAGGAGAAGAGTTCAAATTCAAAATAAGCGTATTGCTAACCATTTATATATATATTTCTATATGTATCTTCTGGTCTATCTGATCACTCACCGCCTGCTGGCCGAGCATGCTGCGCGCCTTCTTCAATCGATTCTTGCACGCATCCAGATCCAAGCTGCAAGAAGATTAACACACAACGATAAACCACACAACTATATAGATATATATATTTTACGCAGTTGCTGGCACAATTGTAATACTAAATAATTTTTCTATTTGTGGGGGGGGGGGGGGGGGAATGCAGCAATGACTTACCGCTTGGTCTCCAGCAGGCCGCGCTCCTTGCTGATGGTCTTCATTTCGCCATCGAGAAATTTGCGCAACGGTTGCGTAAAACAAATGCCCGATGTGGCAATGAAGTCGTGCTCGCACTGCCCCAGCTTCTGTTCGGCCTGGCCGACTTTGATGAGCGCCTGGCCGTAGGGCATGTCCTGGCCAAAGTCACCGCCCGCCTCGATCATATCCAGCGCCAAATGCTCCAGATTGCTGATACGTTTCGGTTTCGATTTCTCAATCTTCTCGAATATGTAGTCCTCGACACGATTCTGTGGATTTGGTATAAGTACCGTTTCGGTGTCGCGCACAAGTTTCTCCGTCCATGATTTTGTAAGGTCGGCGCGTTCGGCCAGATTCTGGAAGTGTATATCGTATTCGGTGCGCTCGGTGGTGCCCAATTTCTCCTCGGTTAGCTGCAAAAAGGGCAAAAAGTCAATCGCAATGCGCAGAACCATTGAAATTCCACCACACTCTAAAACAGAAGTACCTCCACCTTCTCATCCACATTCACCACACCCAGCCACCCACATCCCCACACCCTTGCAACATTAAACAAAGTTGTGGTTTGCATCAGCATCCGCATTATTTACCTGCACCACGCGTGATATTGTACTGCCCGCCTCCTTGACCAGGTTCTTCATATTGAAATTGGGCAAATTTATGTTCATTTTGTATTTCTTTTATTTTCAGTTATTTTTAATCAATTTAATTAGAAAATTATCCGCTTGGGAATTCTTGTTTGTATTTATCAATAGTCTAATGAGAAAGCTGAGCTGCTGTCCAATCGATTTCCAGTTCGCATTTTACTATCGATAGTTCAGCTACACGCACAAAGCGACATCTAACGGTAGATATTTGACAACATCGCGGCGAAATTTAACGACTCATTTCACTCAAAAATATTTGAAAATTTGAAAAGTAAAATACATGGCAGTAATGCAGGTAAGAAATCTCCAATAGAGACAGCTCGACTAGTTGAAACCCTGCACCCAGCTGTTATATATGTAGATATATTCTAGCTTTTTAACATACAAGTTCTAGTTTTGTGCTCTCAAATATATTAAGTTTGTTATGCAAACTTTACGACATAATTATCATACCCTACGCAACAGCATAAGAATATACAATAAATATATAAAAATACAAAAAGGCATGGATGATTTAATTATCGTCGCTTATTTAGTCCATACAAGCAAGTTGTATTGTGAGCTTCTTTAGTCTTGTGTGATCTGTTCTGAGTTGAAATACTTACATATATTAAGAGCAAAAATGTTACTTAAAGTTATTAACGCTATAATCCTATTATATATAGCTGTGCTGCAATGTGCAGGTCAACATCCATGTAGATGTAAGCAGGGACAGCATGGCGAGAAATTCAATAGTTTGACAGGATTGGAATGCAATCAGAAGCAACGCGAATTAGGACAGATAAAGCAGAGCGACTTGCTGAACGAGATATTCAATAAATTGACCGATTTGGAGAGCAATATTGATATATACAGATCGGAACAGAAGAGGCAGAGCGAATTGCTAAATAATGTGCTGAGCAGAGTCAATGAGTCGACAAGGGAACTAGACAAGCTCTCTGATTTGATGTCTAAGCTGATGAGTAAAGTCAATGGATCAACAACAGAACTGAATAGTCAGAGTGAATTGATGGACAAATTCAATGAGTTGAATGAGAAACTCAACAAGTTGACAAGTTTGGAGAGCAGCTATATCGACACATTCAGATCAGAACAAAGAAGGCAGAGCGATTTGCTGACTGAGCTGATAGGTAAAATCAACGGGTCGCCAACTGAACAGTTTGCCCAGATTGAGAATGAGAATAGGGGAAGCGATATGCCGACAAGCCTGAAGCCAATTCAGTATTCGAATAGCTGTGCGGAGGCAGCAGCTCTGAGTGATCGTAGTGGCATTTATGAGATCCTCGTGCCCAGCTACAGTCAGCAACCGTTTGAAGTTAGATGCGATGAGGTGACACAGGACGGCGGGTGGACAATTGTGTTGAGACGTGTGGATGGCAGTGTGGACTTCTATCGCTACTGGGACGACTACAAGACGGGTTTCGGTGCGTTGACGGACGAGTTCTTCATAGGTCTCGAGAAACTGTATCAAATGACCAAAGCCGGGGATCAAGAATTACTCGTAACCATGGTGAACATGAATGGAGAAGAAAGGTATGCAAAGTATGATCGATTTGCAATCGAAAGCGAACAGGAAGCGTACAAGCTGAGCACATTGGGCAAATACTCCGGAGATGCGGGCGACTCCTTGCGATTTCATAGGGGTCAAAAGTTCACAACACGGGATCGGGACAACGATAAAGCTTCATACAATTGTGCTCAAAAATGTCAGGCTGCCTGGTGGTACCACTCCTGTTACTACAGGTACCATATATACATAGATATGTATATATATATATCTGAAATATGCATTATATTTTTCTCAGCAATCTGATGGGACAATATAACTGGAAATCACGTGGCTTTGACTGGAATGCCTTTACCAAGAAAAAGGGCACATTAACAGGTGCCCAGATGATGATAAGGCCGAGAAGAAATTACAATTTGAGATTAGCGACAGTCGAAGACAACATCGAATCATAAATGTACATGCTGTTCCATTAGAGGACGTCTCAAGATCTTAGGCCAAGGATGTGTTCTAATCTTGAATACGTTTGATCTGGAATAAATAGTCTTGAATCAAGTTTGTTGTTTTCTTATTTCCGACTTTTAATACTAAATTGATAAAATGAATTTTGTTCAAAGCTAAAAGCTATTTCATAACTTCGACTCAGCTAAATGCTTACAGATTTTCGAAGGACGCAAGGATAAACTCTATCGAACTGCAATTTCTTGCTTAAGCGGTTCCATCTAGGATGTATTTATCCATATCCAAAATGTAAAGGACATCGCTTAATGCTTTAATTTTATAATACAATTCTTCTTATCGAGCTTATGCCTAGTTATCAAAAGTTAAGCTACAAATTGGTTGTTAGGAGGGATTCGCATCCTGAACGAAATTGCAGGCATAGCAGCCCTTGCTTTGACCAGCACGACTCCTGCAATCTGCAATCCGCCTACCCATCGAATATTCCACTGAACAGTCCTGCAAAGAACACATTTCAACAACTGAATCCTGGTTGATTCGCTTATTGATCAAACTTACTTACAAATAAAGAGTAATGCTTATTCGTCTAGAGTAGAATAGACTAATTAATTTGCTTCCAGAAGCCGCCGCAGTGGCAATGCAACCACTTGTTGCACCACGCCTTCAGCGCTGATGTTTTGGCCACTTTGTTGGCGCTGTTGACGAAACCGCAGCGGGCGCATCTGCGGATGGTGCTGGGATTGGCACCCAATTGGAGATTGCTGACGCCATCCTTGACACAATTGGCGAAGACCACTTGCTCCATTTCGATGTCCTGCAGCCCGACGGGCTCCACCAGCGAGGTGAATGTCAGCTGGCCGGACTTCACAGCCGCATAACCCTGGGCGCTGAGCAGTGTGGTCGGATTGTGCCTGGCCAGCTGGGGAATGAGCAGCTGCTTGGAGAGCAAACTACACTCGTCGAGCAACAGTTCATCCGGTTCGGCAACATTCTGGGCAAGACGTGTGAGCAGCCGAAACAATATCGCCAGCACATCAATGTTCTCCATCGTCTTCGTGTAGACGGGCAGACACTGCGGATTGAGCAGTCCCCAAATGCGGATCATGACGAGCAGTTCCCGCAGACTGCTGATGGCGACAATGTCGCGACTGATGTCATAGCTGCCCTGCCGTTTCCCAGCCAGTTTGCATTTGATTACCTCGTCGGGCAGACGATTGAGCATATTCAGTGCCAGATCTGTCACCCACTGGATGAGCTGTTGCAGACTCTGCAACATCATCGGCTCCACAGTAAAATCTTTGGGATCCAGATTCAACATTACATTGTCCACATCCGGCACCGATTCGGCCAGTTTCATCGCCAAATTATCGGCCGGTCCCTTGTCCTGGCAACCCAAATCCGATGGCCGCAATAGACTCTTAAATGTGGACGAGATCGCGTGCAAAATGATGAGATTATCGAATTCCTGTTGCTGGGCACGGCACAGATTGCTCTTCAATGCCAAAAAGTTGGCATAGTAAAACTGACGCACATACGACGGTTGTCGTGTGAAATTCTCGGTTAGCTTCTCGACGAGCGCCTCCAGATTGCCCAGGTTGAGGAGCAGCACATCACTCGCATCCACACCGGTCACGATGCAATACTCGAGGAGCAGCAACAGCAGTTGCATGCTGCCCGTTGCACTCTGTTTGAGCAGCACTGGCGTCTGCATCGCATGCAGCTGCGCATGGCTATCGAAGATGAGCAGCATTTGACTGGTGGGCGTCAGATCGGCGCACACAAATCTGGCCACATCGCTGGCATCGTTGCCACTGCTGCTGTTGCCACGTTCGAATTGTGTGTGCTGCAGTTGCTTCAAGGTGCCCGGCTCGAGCACCTGTACGCTATTATCCTGCAGGATCACATACAGCTGCTCGGAGTCGCCGGCGAGTCGCGTGCAACACAACTGGGCAATGTTTGCATTCAACTGCAGCTTGGCCACCTGCTCCCAACTCTCACAGTCCACTGATGGTTTGCTGGCGCCAGAAGCAGCTGATGTTGCTGCTGCTGTTGCCAGTGCCGAGGATGACGACGTGGCTGCTGACGAAGCTGAGGCGGAGGAGGCTGATTGCTGCTGAAGCAGCGCGTGCACATTTTGATGGCGTCGCGTCAGCGTCCACTGCTCGAGCAGACTGCTCTGCTCAGAACCGGCAAAGACCACATAGATGACATCGTCGTTGCCCAGGCGTGTCCACAGCAGCTGCGAGATGCGACGACTGCTCTCCAGCGGCTGCAGAAAGATGCTGGCCAGCGACTCCGACTTGATGCTGATGCGTTTGCCATCCAGTTGCAGAGAGACCTGAAAAAGAGAGGGATACATTAATGGAATATAATAGATAAACCGTCAACAGCACCTTGAAGCAGTGGACGAGCTGCTGCTGCTGCTGCCAGCCAATGCTGTAGGCAATGTTGAGGGCGCCGCTGGCGCTGGCCAAAATGCTGCAGTGCTCGATATAACTGCGAGAGATTCCAATGCTGTGCGTGGCAGGAATCAATTCTATTTGCTCGCTGTTGTTGCTGCCGCTGCAACTGTTGCTGTTGCTGCTGTTTGTGTTGTTGTTAGTTAAATGGAGCGTGGCGGGATCGGGCGGACTATTGCCGGTGGCGGACTGTTTCTGCAGCGGCGACAGCGTAAAAGCGGCCAGCAAGCCCGATGAGGTCAGCAGAATGCAGCCCTCGGTGGCGACGCCACCAAACCCGGTCAATGTGGGCCGCTGATCGAGACGCTCAAATTTCTCCGCATAGTAGATGTGATCCTTTTTCTGGGCGTTGAAGTGAACACCTTTGCCGTTGTGAAAGAAACGCGCCTCGATGATGTCCTCGCTGGGTATGTGGGCGAAATAGTGTAGTTGCCACACATTCAATGCCTGCTCCCTTGGCTGCCAGATCTCTACGCGACCACCAATGAAGCCCAGCAGCAGTTGTTCCCCACTCGCACTCCAGGCGAGCACATTTATCAGCGATTTGGAGACGCAAACTTTGTAATATTGCCAGGGCGTAACAATGTCGCAGACATAGACGTGTGTGGAGAGACTCTGCAGGGCGCTGAATGCGATTATGTTGCGCGCGGAGACGGCGCAGAGCACCACCTTGTGCGGGAAGACGCTGCTGTCCTTGGCATTGCCAAATTCTCGCCGACTTTCCACTTTATACAAAATTGTCATCTTTTTTGTTTTCGATCGAAGAGCGGTGCAATTTTTGATAGTGATGTGCACGCAATTAATCGATAATCATTTTGTGTGCATGTGAATGGCAAAAAATACTGGGTGCTGAGCATAACCCAGCAAACAAAAAGTTTGAGTTTTGGTAGCTAATAATCAACAATATACAATTGATTATACTTTAAGTATACTGTCAAGATATATATACATACATGATAAAAATCGTGGCTTGGCATTTTCCATCGATAATCAATATTAGAAACTCGCTTGCCAATGCTTCTTTCTTAATTGTTCCGATTCTATTTTTTGCTCAAATGAACTAGTACAAGCTTGATCAATTGAACAGAGAAGACCGATAAATTGACTCAAATTGAATTTGTGGCGCCAATAAATTGTATTCGATAAAAGCACATAATTTGAAATTATTTTAACAGTATTTAAGTGTTATTGCTATTTGTTGCTGTTTGCGTTTGTTTATAAAACAAAGATGGAAAGATGGATTTGTGTTTGACATGAAGAACATTTAATTCGTATATTGTTTATTGAGTTTATTGAACTCTCGAACGAGCGTCGTACATTAACTTAAGGCAATAAATACGAATTACAAATTAAATCTTAAAATAATGCATTTAAGTAAACTAAAGTAAATTAAGCTGAAACTAAACTAGGTTCACGTAGCGCAGTCCCTTGACGAGGCTGCCGCTGAAATTGTCGCCATCGATGAACCGGATGCCGTCGACGAGGCAAGATTGGAGGCTGCAAGGATATTCGGCGCCGAAGGAGCTGCTCTCCCAGCGCAACTGGAGGAGATAGGGCACCTCGGGCGTTAGGACGCAGGCGGAGTCACGGCTCCAGCTCAGATGTAGATCACAATTGTATTTCGTTGTCTGGCCCTGAATGCAGTGCGTCCACACAGGCTCACCCGGCTCCCGGCTGCCATCGTCGGCATACAGCTCGAGACGCAGCGATTCGCGGTACTCCTGCGAATGGTGGGCAGTGTGCAGCTGCGGCGGCGCCAAGCGACTGTTCAGCACCAGACCCAGCACAGAGATGAAACGGGAGCAACGCAAACCCACGCGCCACGTACGGGACTCGGCGTCCACTGTGAACGGGCGACAAGCCTTATAATAGCAACGCTCGACGAGATTGGCGGGCGCTGGATGATCCCTTGGCATATCGTCCTGGCATGGCTCCACCTGCCAGGTGGATGCTGCGTCGCCGAGTGCACCAACATCATCGCACTCCTGCTGTGTCCACTCGCAGACATACCAGAGGAGCAGCTTGTGCGGCTCCTTGCTGGCGGCAATGATCGATTTGACGCACTCCTTGGAGACGTGCACATAGTGCTCCTTCAGGTAGCTCATGTACTGCACATTGTTCACACAGCAGCGCATAAAGAAGGACATGCACACCTCCTGCAGACGGTCCAGGCCCATGCAAACGCTCAGCTCCAGCGCCGGCAGCACATTGGAGAAGCGCAATTTGCGTCTGATGGCTGCCAAAGAATCCGTGATGAGCTGATCCAGCAGATACTTCTCGGCGGCATAGTAGAGCTCAATGCACGCCTCCAGCTGCATACACTCGTAGTCCACACAGCCCGTGTATATCGATTCCAGCAGCACCTTAAAGATTGGTGCACTTATATCGGGTATTTCAATTTCCGGTTCCGGTTCGAGCTGCTGCAGTGGGCCGTAGAACATGGCCTCAAAGACCGGACTGGCAGCACTCAGGATCAGCTTGTGTCCCTTGAGCAGCTCCTCGCACACATGGAACACACAATCCGTGTGCTTCTCCCCGTGCAACAGCTCCGCATATCGCCGGCCCAGCAAGCTGCCCCCATTCGACGGCTCCTTTCGATGAACAACACTCAATTCATTCATCTATAAAAAATTATACAAAAAAGTCAAAAGTAAGTCGGAGAAAATACTTGCTAGAAAACCTGTTCCTAAGTTAAAGCCCAGCTAATTTCAGTATTTAGCAAAAAATGCAGAATGTTTCTTTTATTTTGGGTTCTGCCTTTCCCTCGTTTTGCATAATGTGAAGCGAAATCTGGGCATGCTTATGCCCTCAAAACATTGTCTCCCGTCTATACATTTCTGAATACGCAGTATCTTTGTTTTGATAAGATATATGTGATAACATATATAGATATTATATAGCAAGATCAACGAACTTTATCGCTAAGAGCACTTCGAACTTATGTCAATTCTATTTTTTTTTTTAATGTGAATAACTAAAATTTAAGTTTTATATTAAAGAGATATCCCGATATACAATGGAAAGGTAATAAATTAATCATACTCAAAGTTAAAAGTTAAATTAGAGCAATTTCCATTCATTTTCAAATGATATAACGTGAACCTAAAATAGAAATTATCTATGAAATTAAGTAAAAATACTAATTTAATTTGTAGATTTGTAATCTGTGTTGCTGATAAGCGTTGAGTTGAACACGTTTAATTGCCTCAGCTCGCTGTTAATAATGTGATATAATTGCAGGCGAAATTCAGTTTAAACCACACATTATTTATGCTTTTTCTATATATTTTGTTTATGAATAACATGCACAAATACTGCGAAGAAGCTTGCTGCCGGCTAATTGTGATGTCTTCCAGTGTGAGTGTGTGTGTTCTTGTGTGATTCTCATTATTTATATTTTGCGCATGGGCAATAAATAACCGGTTTAAAGTTTTAAATGTATCGATGACATTACAGGGCACTGTTAACGAAATTTCCCCGCAGCTTAATACCCATTTAGTTATGCTTACACAGAACATGGCTTCTTAGAATCTCGCAGTGAATGCAAATATTTACCTTTTCGATTTAGTAAAGCTGCTGCGCAGATTGTTTTTGTTTTGTTAATTATTGTCTGGCGATCGTGAATCGTAATTGGAAATACTTAGAACTTATATAAGCACGTTTTTTTTATTGTTGTTGTATTTGAATTTTTAAATTGTTTTGCGTTGAACACAAATCACACCTTTTATTTGCATATAATATTTGTTGGCACTGTGACAAAATGATCTTGAGTATTTGTAATTGAATTTACAATGCTAAAAAAATACTTTTGATTTTTTTTTAAGCGTATTCGTTGAGCTTTATTCTGTTTGGCATTCTATGCGCCGCAAAAGGAGCTGAACTTGACCGATTTGATCAGCTGCTGTCGCAGCGATCGCAATTGACAGAGAGCGAGAGATAGAGAAAGAAATCAGACCAACTTACGAACCGTTCAACGCGGCGCGCCACCTTCGACTGAACGTAGAACTCGGAGAACACAGACAACCCACTCGCTCTCTCTCTCTCTCTCTTTCTGTCTGGAAGCGGCTGAAGCTCTTGCTCATGGTGAAATTATAGATAATGCCACCGGGTCTCTTTATATTTTCTAAATTATGCTCTTGAATTGCCGGTCATAAGAGCCTCTACTTATAGCTTAAGAGAAAGCAATTAGTGTTCGCTCTCTCAATAGTCAGGCGTGCAAATAGAAAAAGTTATTTTGTAGAGAAGCAAAGTTTGGTCAAATTTTGAACAGTTCACAGCGATTATTAAATTAGAGCAACAACATTCAGATAACATTGATAAATTAGACACGCTTCTGGTGACGGCGACGCAGCCTTGAACCCTTTCATAGTCTCTTCAACGGACAAAGTTATTTCTGTAACTCATAAGAAAATAAACACTGTACACTACAAGCAACTGGAGGCATATTCAAATTATAGCAACGTTTGTTCGCCTATGCGATGTAGAATTAATTAAATGTGTTTTTGTACAATGAGAAAACAAATATTATTTGTAATTTAAATTGTATAAAAATTATAATTTTAAACTTTTCAAATTATTAAATTTATATAAGCATTATTTAGAATCGAGTATTGAAGTTGCGACTTGGCTAGCTGCAGTTTTTTGTGCCATATTTGAGTTGTTGTTGTCGCTGGCAGATGCTTTGGCCTTTTGTGGTTTTACAAACTGGTATATTGGCCAATCTTCTGCAGACCAGGCCTATTTATTCCTCTTTCCATCTCTCTCGCTCTCTCTCTCTCTGAGTCTGTTTCTTTGCCAAGCCACAAAATGATTTATCGATCTTACGATCTTAACTTAAATTTCGACTTGGTTTAATCAGCATGTGTGCAAATAATAATAATAATAATAATAATAATAATAATAGTAATCATATTATACAATTTTAATGTCTAAAGGCAGCAACTAATGTCTTTAAAATGATGCGGAAGTAAACAGCAAATAACTTAGGATTACAATATTAAATATGCATGTGTGAGTATGTGTGTGTGTATGTGTGTGTAGTTATGGCATTGGGTGCCTGCACTTAGATAATATCACGTGGTACACTCAAAAAGTGTATGGAATTGGACACATGATGGGTGATGTCCGTCAACGTCTCCTTGTGAACGCCCCCAAATAGAATCAATTCCCCATTGCCCGCTATCAGGCTGGACAGTATGAGGCGATCGGGTGCACCGCTTAGCACACCAAAATTCTTATACTCCACCCAGTCGAGACCGGGTTCACAGTTCGGATCCGGCTGGAGTAGGCTGGAGATGTCGCAGACGAACAGGGATTGCACATTGCAGCGTAGACGTTTGGGGGAGGGGGCACGTAACGTTTGCGGCTCGACGTGGGCGGGTGCACTGCGTCGCGAATTGCGTATGGCATTCATTTTCTCCTCCATGCGACGGATGCGTTCGCTGTGATCTCGCGACGCACTCCGCGAACGACCGGGCACATTGAAGGCGGCCATGCGAAAAGGATCCTGGAGAGGGAGACAGAGAGAGAGAGAGAGGGAGAAAAAGGTCGAAGGATATTTAGCAATTAACAATTAACAGTTGCAGTCGGGCATAACCGATTGCGAAATACTCTGATACCAATAAGTAATGTCGATCCTTGAAGGCCGTCACCAACAACCCACCAAGTCAGGACAGACGAACATGATGACGGACATTGTACCTTCGGTATCAGAGTAGAAGAGTGCTATGCAAAAAGGACTCCGCCAGAAGGACTCACTTCGTAGTGTTCGTCAAAGCGTTTGGGTAGCAGCGGTTCATTGTCGCGACAACGCAGTGCCAGATTACGTTGCAGTCGCTGTGCGGCATCCGCATCCCCATCGGCTGCTGCTGCAGGAGCAGGTGCAGCAGGTACTGCTGCTGCTGCTGGAGCAGGTGGTGAATGCAAATCACTGAGTCGTCCTGAGCGTGGCTGATAGTGATTGTTGTTGCCGCTGCCATTGTTGTTGTTGTTGACATTGTTGTTGTGCATGAATTGCTGGGCCTGCTGCATGTGCTGGTTGAGGATAGCCCGTCGATTAGCCAAATATTGCTCCTGCGGCGCCAAAGCAGCGCCGCCCAAACGCACTGCACGCTGCTGATCCCGCGGATTGGCTGGCTGGCCTGGCCTACGCTCCGGCAGTAGCACCGGCACACGCTGTGGCGGCGGTGGCGCTGGCGCCTGGCCGAGACCAGCATAGCGCAGACCACTGCCGCCAATGGCGGGCACCCGGCTCTGCTTCATGATTTGAAAGTCGAGCGGCATTTTTGGTGATGGGCCGACGACGACCAGATAATTGTTGACCCGACAGCCGGGATTGCACCACATGTGCACGGCACCAAAGTGTTTGTTGCGCACACTCAACTGTTTCCAGGACCAAGCGTCCCTCGTCATGTCCAACAGCCAGGCATCTGTATAAACCCGATTGGCACCGCCACAGCCGCCAACGATGAGCAGATGCTGTTTGTCAAGCTCCACTTGGATTTGACCGTATCGCGGCGCCGGACGAGTATTGCCCACAAAGAGTGGCTGCCACCAGCGCTGCTCGGCCAGATCCAGCACCCAGGTATCATTCGAATTGACATTGACATCGTCCTTGATCTGATAGCCGCCAAAGATAATCATTCGATTCGCGTGCACACTGGCCGAATGACCCGCCATCGGCGGTGGGCAGGGCAACGAATTGCGCGCCAACCAACGATCCTTGACGAGATCGTAGTAGTGCAGCTCGTCGAACAGACACCATGGCTGATAAGGTGGATGCAGCGATGGATAACGCCACCCACCGAACAGCACCAGTTTGTCACGCCACGCAACCATTGAGGCGCTGCCCTTGGGCGACGGATATGTACCGGTGGCAAGTGGACGGGACCAGCGCATGTGCGTCAAATCGAAGCGCCACAAATCATTGAAGGTCGTATCGGATGAGGAGCCGCCGCCAAACACATACATCGAATTGGCCAGACGCACCGTGGAGTGGGCAAAGCGTCCGGCTATTATTGGCATAGGTTGTGAGCCCGATTGTGATCTATTGTTTGGTCTGTTGGCCTCCAAGGAGGCGGCCGTTTGCTGCGAATAAACCTCCCAGCGCAAACGAAAATCGGCCAAACCCTTCTCCAGGTTTAATTGCGAGCGCCGCACAAGATCTGCAAAGATGAGCAAGTATTATATATATATTTATGTGTATGAGTTGGCCGAATTACTCTTGACAATTAGCTGCCAGCGCTTGCAGACGAGACTGCAGTGCTCCAGATCGCCATAGGGCGGCAGATAGGTGAAGATGAACTCGAGTATCTCGTCGGGCAGCACATTGAGGCTGATGTACGACGAGGAGGCAGCTAGGCATATTGCTGTTGCTGATGTTGCATTGCCACAGTTGTCATTCAGACTTTGATTGCACGTGGCCATTGTATGGCAGCGTCCGGATTTCCTCTCCTATCGTCCTTGTTCTCGTCCTTGCCACCCGTTCACCTTTTGGGGCAGCTGTAACACAGCAGCAGCAGCAGCAATTACTTAACACACAGCGCAGAACAGTTAATTTGAATTGTTGTTTATGTTCAGCACACACACGAGTTGCCTACGCACATTCCGTATTTTCTTTTTGTAGACAACGTCCCCTTTTTAACGTAATTTCCAGTCTAAAAGCACTGTAAACAGCAGTAGTTTCTAGGGATGGTACACTTATTTTGAACAACTATCGCATAGACGTCAGATATCACATATATCGATGAGAAACATCTGTTTGAGCTCAAGTACAACATCGATAGTTTGCTGATATTTATGGATGTTCAAAAAGACATTTTTTTTATTTATTTTTGCTGCACATTTATTTGATTGAATTTATTTTGAATATGAGAAATATAAATAGAGGTAATAGCTTTATGTCATCATATATCGATGAGAAAAATCTGTTGTTGCAGTATCAAATACATCGATAGTCTACCGATATTTATGGATGTTCAAACTGACCTTTTTTTTTCGTTTTAAAATATATGTGAACAATAAAAAGAGGTTATAGTTTGTACATTAAGTATATAGTAGGCCTACACAATAAGAAAGACTGCGCATTGAAACGCACTATACGTTTTCCACTTATATATATATCTATATCCTATATCTCTCCTAACTCTTTTACAATCGAACAATATGCTGAAATAAAACGGCAATTAAGAAAGCATTAAATGTCATCCATAACTTTAACAGAAATCATTAATCATAAAACGAATACGATTCCAACTCCAAGCGATGGCGTCTTTAAGGTAACCATTACTTAGCAACAGTTGCCCTTCCTCGCATAAACAACTTCATACTAACCAGAAAACCAAATCAGAAAATTTCATTCCCCACGACGCAAGCTAAAACACTTGTACATTATATATGAATATATATACATATTTTTTATCACAAAACGAATAGATTTAAAAATGCCCTTCAATTCGGTGGTGACCATAGAGAAACCCCTGCAGCATCTGTCGCTGACCGATTGGAATGCACGCGTGGATCGTCTGCGAAGTGTGGCCAATGCCCGCCACTCGGATACCTTCGACATGAGGAACTCATCCCGTCAGCTGCGCAACGAGGTGCGCATCGAGGGCAACTGGGCCACCTATGAGTCAAATGAGGCACTGGATGGTCGGTGAGTTGGGCTATTCCTCGCAGATTGGCATCGAATTTATAGCGACGTATTTTTGGTGGTTATTTTCAGCATAGTCGAGCTGAATAGCTGGCGTGAGATCATCTCCAAGACGCTTGAGCGCTTCGAGAATGAGATTACATTGCTGCAGGATGAGAAGACGCTGACGGAGCGGGAGCTGGATGCGCTCGCAGGACCCATTGCGGTGATTAGCGAAATGCTCACAATGCGAGACAGTCGCCTCGGTTCCGAGATCACATACGATGACCCAGACAAAGAGATCAAGAATGAGCTGGCCATATTGGAGAATAATCAGCAATTATTGGCTGAACGCTGCCAGAAGGCGTGGGAGAAACTGACACGTCTCGAGGAGGTGCGCAACAAGATTGTCACTGAGATCGAGAACAAAGTGGACGCAGTGCATGTGGAGATGGCACAGCGTGCACTGGATCGCGATTCAACGAAAATATCTCTCAAGCTGGGTCCACGGCGGGCTCCCATAGAGTAATTACAATGTTTTTTCTTCGATTCAAACATTACAATTTCATAATTGCAGCTCGTACGAGGAGTGGCTGGCGAAGACGAAGAATCTGAAACAGCTGGCGGAGAACGAGTTGGCCGACACGGCTGCGCTCCGCGAATCGTTATTCGTGTGCCGCGAGAAAGCCCGGAGCATGCTTAAAGCACAGCAGGAGCGTACCGAATACTCAATAAGAAAGCGCATCTTTGAGACGCAGCGGGCGCACAACGAACTCGAGTGGCTATCGGACAAGTTGCAGACTGAAATTGAGAATGCTGAGCACGAGATCAGGACGCTCGAGAAAACATTAGATGGCACTGTGGGCTCACTGAAGTTAGCGGAGACACGACTGGAGAACCGGTTTGAGCGATGCAGCGCTGAGCAATGCCTGGATTATGTACACGACATGCTCAGCCACGAGGTGGACAAGATATGCGACATACGTCGCTGTCTGCAGGCCAAGATCGCTGACGCCAAGGCCAATTTCAATCTCATAACGGAGCATGTGGCACGGATCCGTGTGGATCTGGAAAAGAAACACCACGCCCTAATGACGGACAAGCGAACGCTGGAATTGCGACAGCGCTTAAAGGACGACGAGACTGGAGTTAAGGTCTGCAATCCATGCGCTCAGACCGATCGCAATATTGTAATTACAAATGCGGAGTATCTAATTCCAAAGACGTAAGAATATAATGTGCTCATCTGGATCATATTCGTGGGAACAGACGTATATATGTACATATATATATATGGCATTAGTCATTTGAGGTTGGGAATCAATGGAGTTATCTAAACGAAAGTAACTATCATTATATCATCTATAATTCCAAGTCAATAAAATGCTAATTGAAAGCCTACAAATAACATACGAAATATGGCATTTTGTCATGTCATGTCATGTCTATTGTTTTAATTTAATATATTCATTTAGATTATTCAGAATTTGTGTGGGAGACTATAAAAACCCTTTTTATCTGCACTTCTTTCTAATTAAAGTTGTGCATTTATAACGAATACTCATGGCTAAACAATGCCTGGCAACTGTTGGTCCCAAATATATATATACATACATACATATAAGTATATCTGTATATATATATATGTATGTATTTGCTAGACTACACCTTGGCAACACCTTGGTGATCTAGTAGACTTCGCATAAACAGTTCTTAACAACAAATGGGAACAAATTCCGTTAGTTGCCATTGCGAGTCGTCGTTGAGAACACAAATTCTGTGAAAAGACGCCGAAAAATATTTGTTACTCTTTAAAATAGTGTAAATAAATTGATTTGGGCAGGCAAGAAAGAAGGTGTTATATATAAATAAAAAAATGGCTTTTCATTCGGTGGTGACCATGGAGAAACCGCTGCAGCACATCTCCTTGGCTGACTGGAACGCACGGGTGGCGCGCCTGCGAAATGTGGCGGATGCTCGCCGTTCGGATGCCTTCGCATTGAGACATTCCGCCCGCACGCTCCGGAATGAGACACGCATCGAGGGCGACTGGGCGAACGTAGAATCGAATGAGGCGTTGGCCGATCGGTGAGTGGCAGTGCATCTCTGGCTTAATTCAATATGAGTATGTGCATCTCTGCTGCAGCATAACGGAGCTAAACAGCTGGCGTGAGATCATCTCGAAGACGTTCGAGCGCATCGAGGATGAGATTAAATTGCTGCTGGATGAGAAGACGCTGACGGAGCGCGAGCTGGATGCGCTCGCGGGACCCATTGCGGTGGTTAGCGAAGTGCTCACAATGCGGGACAGTCGCCTCGGCTCCGAGATGACATACGATGAGGCTGACAGGGAGATCAAGAATGAGCTGGCCATATTGGAGAATAATCAGCAATTATTGGCTGAACGCTGCCAGAGGGCGTGGGAGAAACTGACACGACTCGAGGAGGTGCGCTATAAGATTGGCATGGAGATCGAGAACAAAGTGGAGGCTGTCGATTTGGATACTGTGCAACTGGCGCTGGATCGCAATTCAGCAACGTTATCCTACAAGCCGGATCCCTTGCGTAATCCCAAAAAGTAAGAGCAGTTTCGTAATTTGTAATTTTCGGTTTTAATTTGATTGATTGCAGCTGCTGCTCATATGAGGCGTGGCTGGGACATGTGAAGAGCATGAAATTGCTGGCTGAGAACGAGCTGACCGACACCTCTGCCATACGAGAGGCGCTCTTCGTGTGCCGCGAGAAGGCTCGCAACATGCTGCAGGCGCAACAGGAGCGGGCTGAGTACACGATACGAAAGCGCATCTTTGAGACGCAGCGGGCACGCAATGAGCTCGAGTGGCAGAAGCTGAAGATGAAGGAGGAAATGGAGAACGCTGTGTGCGAGATCAATGCGCTGGAGGATGCGTTGCGTGACAAGTCGAGTTCGCTGAAACTGGCCGAGACGCGTCTGGAGAATCGGGCGCAGCGTAGCGGCATGGAACTCTGTCTGGATCATGCCCACGACACGCTCTGCACCGAGGTGGAGAAGTTGCGCGAAATACGCCGTAGTCTTCGGGCCAAAATCGATGATGCCAGGGCCAACTACAATCTATTATCGGATCATGCGCAGAAGATCGATGTTGATCTGGAGAACAAGCAACACTCCCTGATGACCGATATCCGTGCGCTGGACTTACGGGTACGACTTCGGGCCGGCGAATTTGGACTGAAGGTAACGAGTCCCAGTGGCCAGACGGATCGCAATATTGTGCTCACCCACATGGAGCAGGAGATACCCAAGTCATAGGATAGAATGTGTGCCGCTGGATAAATCACAATTTGATGTATACACTTAAAATTTGTCAAAATTCTTGTGCTTTGAAAATTTGTACTTTGTTTTGTTTATTCGCTTTTCTCGCTGCTCGAACGCAGCGAAAAATTGAAATTCAACTCGCCCAATCGCGGTTTGAAGTTGATGCTCCAATCCAATTGCCTTTTGCCAGCGTCTGTCTGCCGTCTGTCCTTGGTTGGCTGGCTGATGAAGTGCACACCCTGCCGCACAAACATGTCCCACTTCACAAGCTGGCCGGGCACAACGGTCTCCGAGGGTCCGCTGCTCACAATCGATCTGGGACTCTCATCGGCCGCCAGCTGCCAATCCACCCACAATGCTACGCCATTGCAATCGCCAGATCTGTAAAGAGTAGCGCAGTTTTAATAGGATTGATGTGATATTCTGAACGGAGAAAACTGCTACACATAGGCTCTGATAATGAGGCACAATCTAATACTTTATGGGATCGAATTTAGATTGTACCCTCTGCAAGTTTGTTCAATTACTTTTACAATTACTTGAGTGAGTGGAATTGCATCGCTTTGGCTACTTACGCTGTTAGTTGAAGGCAGCCATGACTGTGTTTATCCTCTCCGAAGTTGTCGAAGTTGACGTTGAGCAGCTGCTGTGGCTGTGCAAGGGCACGGCAAGGATACTCCCAGAGTGGCTGTGCCTCCACCAGGGCTACAGCCTGTTCCGCTGATCGCTATTCAAAGTTAAACAAAAACCCTTCATAAGGCATTTACCATATAAAATTCAGATAATCGCTGCTTACCTGTACCATATCATCGAAGAGTCTCAGATCGAAGCCCTCGCAACTGCCAATGGGGGTGCGTATCTTGTGCAGATCCAGAAACTCCACAGGTAGTGCATAAATGCGTGCAGCACATGGCGAGATTTGAACAGATAACGCTGGTATCTGCTCCAGCAGCTGCAACAGCAATGTGCCAAAGTAAAAGTTATCCCAGGGCAAAATGGAATTCAGGAAATACGGCTCCGCAAATATGTGTGTAATTGCTGCTAATTCAATCGGCTGCAATTGCTGCACGCTCTCCACAAACGAAACGTTCTTCAGCTGATTGTGCTTGGCTATCGCACCGAGCAGGCGGCGCGAGAAACGATGCGGCTCCAAGCAGCGAACACTGCCGGCGCCAAGAGCCGAGCTGGCAAGCCCGAGCAGGCAGCCATCGCCCAACACCAATAAATGTGCGGATTCTTTCGCATGCACCGCCTGCTCCAGGTAGCGCAGGTAGCGCTTATTCCGCGTGCCCTGATTGAGCTGACCGATCCGATTGCGAGTGTAGGTCATGTGCAGATCACAGGTGCAGCAGTGACGCCGTGCCGGCTGTGATGGTGGCTCTGTTTGGTGCGCATCGAACCACAGCGAGTACTCGTCGTGATAACATCGCAGATAGAACTGTTCGCCGGCAGTGTGCAGCTGCAGTGGCTTAGGTATGTAGTAGATGGCCTGCATCCAATGATCACGCCACGGCACCACATTCGCCAACGGTTTGCTCGAGTTTGACCGCTGCAGCTGCGCCAGCTCCGGATGCGCCCAGTAGGGTGCACAACTGAGCAGTTGCTCACCCCTATCGTCCAGTTCGATTTGCCACCAGTAGAAGATTAACTCCACGCTGCCCGGTCGGACAATCTGCAGTCTCAGGATGTTCTCTCGCTGCTGTTCACGTGCCTGCTTGCGCTGGAAGTCAAATTGAAAGATTGGCGTTGGTGCTGTGAGCACATGGAAGGAATCGATTGGCAGCTGTGACAGCTGGACATCGTGGAGCGCCGCCTCGCCGCTGCACTGCAACAGTTGAGCCGGCGGTTTCAGTAATATGTCACCATCCAGACTGGCCAGCATCTTTAGGCTGTTCCATTGCGTCGCGAGCGCAGATTGTGCCGCCTGGGCATAGCAGGTGGCCCGGGCTGGAATGCACAGGGCATCGGCGGTGAGTAACTCGTTGTGTGCATGATTGTAAATGCCAATGGCACCTTCGCCTATCAGTTCCGTATCCAACAGCTCGGCCACCAGCAAATTGGCCCTATGTGGCATATCCACGCCCATTTCGATGTCCGTCGAGCGTTTGCGTATGAGCCGCACCCTATCGCCGTACCCATTGGCATTGAGAATGCGCTGCGCACAATTTGCCATGGGCATGAACGCCTCACAGGCAGTAACAGTGTCGGCGCCAGCGCGAAGCGCCATCATTGCAAGTATGCCGGTGCCGGTGCCAATATCTAATACGTGAACTTCTCTGCCCGCCTCTCGCATCGCAGCGATTGTTTTGCGCAGCGCCGCATCATATTTTTGATTGCGTTCCCAATCGTGCAGCATGTCGCCAAAGCCAGCATTGGCCACTTCCTGATGGTAATCATAATTCTCGTCGCGTTCTTGCCATGTGTTCTCACCCGTCATCGGATTGATTACTTGTCCAAAGCTAGCCATTAATCGTGTGCGTTGTAGTGTCAGGCGTAGTACTCTCTGCATCGAAAAGAATATGTCTATCTATGTTACATATATACAAATAGTATGCAAATAATGTATTTTGAATATTCACACACAGTTTGCTCGCCGCAGGTGCACATATATGTTTTCCAATGAATTTAACATTTTTATACACTGTAAAACAACATTATGTTTAAGTAAAGCCATGCGTATCGATATATCGATATTTGATTCACTCTTCAAACATATGTGTAGGAGTAAGCTATACATATAATATTATTTTAATATTCACGCACAGTTTGTTTGCCATGTTAATCTCACATACATTTAACTTTCTTTAAACTGTTAAACAATACGCGTTCATTTCAGGAATGTAAAGCCATGTGAATCGATGTATCGATATTTGATTTGATTGTTCAAACAACGAACAGTTGCTAATTTTAACTGCCAAGTATCGAATCCCTTTTTAACTTTAGTTAGCTTATGCCTAAATTTTAATTTTATCTGTAACTGGAAAATATTTTTTTTTTTAAATCAAAAGAAAATGTTAAGAGATTCGTACATTTAAAATGTGTTTTATTTGACAGTTTCAGTTGTAGTTTACAATTATATAGCTATTAAAACTGCTGATCAAGTCTTCGTCGGACTCCCGTCATGATCCGTACACGTTGCTCCAACTCCTGATATTTAATGCAACGTATACGTTGAATGGGTGTATGCCAGTAATCTTCTCTATCTTCCGTATAGATCCAGCAGGACATTCGTGGCACTGATTTGTAGTTAGTGTTGTTAACAATGCCAACTGGTGTATCAAATTTCATCGTATTTCTGTATGCCGTCCACTGTTTAATCAGAGAGTCAACAATTGTGATCCCCAGCACCAACAGCATAATAAAGATGGCCTCGACCTGCAAAAATGATTGTGGACTTTCCATGCTGATAGGTCAAGGTTTGGAGTGTGAATAATAATGGTCAACCATTGACGTGCCATTTTATACAAATTACAGGTAGATAAATGCATTCCAAAAGGGTATCACAGGTGTGTTACCTAGGCACAGAGTGTACAAGTTTGTAAATAAGATCATTAAATATTAATCTGTTTGTTGTGATTGGGTTGGGTGAGGATAATGATATGGTACCCACCTTTAAGAGCTCCAATCTGGCAACAAATACGATTTATTTTATTATATTAGAGTATTCAAATTGTCGTCATTAATGGTTGAGCGGTTAATTTATATATATAATTTATATATAAATATATATACACATATATATATATATAATGCTGATAAGCTCTTAAATTTAGCTATAAGCTTGCTTGTTGCTTGCTCAGTTCATCTAGTGTTGAGAGATACGGATGGCGTTATAGCAAAAATGTTACTGAAAATAAGTTGCGCAATAATATTACTGAACATATTGGTGGCTCAATGTGAAAACCTTGATGAGGAAAACCCATGCAAATTGCAAAATATAACAACAAAATATGCTGTCGAAGTATCGAAAAACAGGATGTTGCTGCAATCACAACTTGAAGAAATGCGGTACGTATTCATAACTTTTCTTGTACAGAATGTATTATTATAATTGTTGAAGATATTTTGTTTATTCTTTATAGGGCCGAACAGACTAATCTCTTTGCAGAACTTAATTCAAAATTGGACCAATTAATGGTGAACAGTTTGCGAGCAGATCAGTATCCTAGCAGCTGCGTGGAGGTGGGAACGCTGAGTCGTCTTAGCGGCGTCTATCAGATCTTCTTACCTGGTCACAGTTTGCAACCGTTTTTGGTTAGCTGTGATGGCGATACTCAGGGCGGAGGCTGGACAGTTATTCTGCGTCGTATGGATGGAAGCGTTAATTTCTTTCGCTATTGGAACGACTATAAAGAGGGCTTTGGGAATGTGAATGGCGAGTTTTTCATTGGCCTGGACAAGTTATATGCGATGACCAAGGATCTGAACCAGGAGCTGATAATAGTCATGAAGAACATGGCGGGTCAAACGAAATATGCGAAATATTATCGATTTGCGATCGGCGGTGAAGCGGATTTGTATAATCTGCGCACATTGAAGGGATACTCTGGAAATGCTGGAGATTCTTTAATCTCGCATGTAGGGAGCAACTTCTCCTCAATGGATCGCGATAATGATAAATCCGAAAACAACTGTGCTGAATTGTATAAAGGTGGCTGGTGGTACAATAAATGTCACACAAGGTGTGTATCTATAAATGTGAGGAAAAGTTTTTAGACACTACATTCCTTCTTAATTTTCGAATATTTCTATATATTTACAGTAACCTAATGGGTCACTATAATGAGTCTACCTTTGGACAAGGCATTAACTGGCTTCTATTTACGGGTCATAAAGCGTCGCTCAAAGAGGTACAAATGATGATAAGACATACTGTATAAATCGAAAACCGTGGAAAGAAATGTGTATAGATAATAGACAGCTTAAAAATTGTTTCAATGTAGGTTCCGATCTGTTTAAAATATATACACGAGGTAATTATAAGCAGACATTTACAATCCACATCAGTTAAAATAGTATAAGGGTATTTCAAGTTTATATTACAGGCTACACAAAACAATTTGCTAGCTTCTTTTGTCTTGTGTGATCTGAGCTAATTAGAAATACTTAAATATGTTCCATATTGCCAATAATATAAATCACAGCTTAAATATGCAGGGGAAACTGATCAAGTGGATGATAAACTATGATATTGGAACGATTACATGACAATATAAGCGCCAATTCGTCTTGTCTCAGGTTGCGGCTCCGAGTGGGTGGTATGGGTGGTGCAGGGCGGGTGGATTAGGTGTGCAGGTCGTCTGGCTGGTTAGTGTCTGTAAAATGATTCAACGCAGCTCGTAGGTTTACGGGTCCTGTGTTGAGGAATCGCTGGCATCTTCGGACTGAGTGCCCAATTTGAGCATTTTGTACGCTTCCTCTTCGCTACCGATTTCAAATCGATCATACTTTGCAAATCTCTGTTGTCCTTTAGAGTCCTCCAAGACTCAACCCACAACTTTAGTCATAAAATGAAACTTTTGGAGACCCATGAACAACTTGCCAGTCGAATGCACGAAGCCCATTTTATAGTCTCCTCACAGCTCACCTACTCCTCTAGCCCCCTAATGTTAAACGGATGCAGACTTCAGACGAGCAATATCATCTAATAGATTCCAGTGGCATCCAGTAGATCCTTGTGCCCGTCTACAGTCTGCTCAGTCGGCTTAGAGGCAGCACCTCCTCATAGCTGCTGGAGAACAGATTGGGTTCCGAACTGGCCATCTCATTGAGTTTACCTTTACCTATTAGCTTATTCAGGAAGCCGCTCTGACGAATCTATGTATGTTGTGATAAGGGTGTTTCAAGTCTATGAATAAATCCACACCAGTATGCAAATACAAACCTTATCACTTGGAGCTATAGTTGCAAAAATTCGCTGGCATCTTTGAATTTAAAGCTAATTTCGCTTTAATTGGTATTTTGAAAATTTAAATTTCCCACTTTATCATTTATCCCTGCGAAGTATTAGCAAAACGATGCAAGTTATTTTTGGCAGTATTTTCGAGTAGAATATGTATAAGTTCTTGACATCTTGACAGATAACACACAAGACTAAAGAAACTGACCCACTACTTGCTGAATATATAGCCGGCAAGTCAGCTTATTATAATAATCAACCATATCGTATATATATATATATGTACATACACATATATGTCCATTTATGTTTTTTCATAAGTAGTCTCAATATATAAATAAAAACAATCAAAAAAAGTAATGCTCAAGTTTTTTAATAATGTGAATTTTTCTTTTTAACTAATAAAGAACCGATATCAATGGGGTCAACCATATACTTAAGAAGCGATAAGAGCGATCTACATAATATGTATACCTTGGGTCATCTTCAAGATCAATTTGGTGAAATCATTATATTTAATCTATTCAAAAGAAAAATGCATACAAAAGAATATACATATAATCCTGTCGGTATTCACCTTGTAGGGGATTTTGATTTCGGTATACACATTGCTTATCAGTTTGGGGTTTTTTACTTGACAAGCTAACATATATACTATATATAAAATAGAATATTTATCTTATATATTAGTTTAATTTTTATTTTAATGACATATTTATATTTTTTACAAAATGAATGGATGTTTTTGTAAAAAGGTATAAGGTATTTCAAATTCGTTATCACGGGCAGAATAAATTTTTGTAATGCTCGCTATAAATTAATTCGCTAGCTGCTCAGAATATTTAGTTTGGTTTGAACAGTGCTTATTTGAAATACTTATATAAATTAAACGCAAAATGTTGTTGAAAATAATGTGCAGTATAATTTTATTAAATATACAAGTGCTTAAGTGTAGAGGGGAAATATTTAAAGAAATTGAGAATCTGCCAGATTTAACTAATATCTGTAGAAATATAACCGAAATACAAGTACAAGATGCGATAAGGTTTGTATTCGAACTTTGGTTTCCATTTCGAAAACATTTGAATGACCTGCTCTCTGCACCCACACACACAGATCAGAACAGATTCGTCTGAGAGAATTGCAGAATGAACTGATCGGTAAATTCTATGTGTTGAATGAGAATTTCAATAGATTGACCAGCTCGGAGTCAAATAAGTTCGCCAGCAGCTGTGCAGAGGCTACAGCTTTGAGTCGTCGTAGTGGCGTCTATCAGATCCTCGTGCGCAACTACAGTCTACATCCGATTATCGTGAGTTGCGAGGAAGAGACACATGGCGGAGGCTGGACAACTGTGTTGAGACGACAGGATGGCAGTGTCGACTTCTATCGCTTCTGGAAGGACTTCAAGAATGGTTTCGGCAACGTGATCGGCGAGTTTTTCATCGGACTTGAGCTGCTGCATATCATTACCAACGTTGCGGATCAGGAATTACTCATAGTCATGGAGGACTTTAATGGACGACATAGGTTTGCCAAGTATGATCAATTTGAAATTGGTAGCGAAGATGAAGCATATAAATTGCGTACACTGGGCACATATTCCGGAGATGCGGGCGATTCCTTAAAAGACCATTTAGGTCTAAAGTTCTCAACACGGGACAGAGACAACGATCAGAAAGATACGTTTAATTGTGCTGAAATTTATACGGGTGGTTGGTGGTACGATGCTTGCTATAAAAGGTACTATACACCGACCGATTTTATAAATTATCAATTGTTTATTTTTTAATAATTGTATATTTTTGACAGCCACCTGATGGGAAAATATCAAGACTCATCCTTGGGCGCAGGCATTAATTGGTATCCTTTTGCGACTTCCACGGGCACATTAAAAGGTGCCCAGATGATGATAAGACCTAGAAGGTATTGAAATTGCTGCGGATAAAAATAAAAATAAAAATCAATAACATAATTCTTCATTCAAAATGTATCAGAAGCAAAAGAGCTATAAACATTTTTATATGTCACTAATAGGTATATATCTTGAACATGCTTAGTTGCAATTGATTCAATCTTGGCACATTTTGTAAAGTGCATTTTATATGTTTTTTAATTAAATTGTTATTAAACAGCTCAAGACTGGTAATCTAATGGGACATTCCTTGGTTTAAGTAATGTGGGGCTGAGAACCATTTGACATTTGCTATTTGCTGTCTAAGGCATCGTGAATAGTTTTTTGTGCAATAAGGAAAATACTAAGAAATTGCTATTGTGGAAAATTGTACTCTCACGTTTTGCTTTACAGCAATGTATATTTATTTATTTTTATTTTGTTCCAGCCAATAAGCAAGTCGAGAGAGAGAGAGAGAGCGAGAGATAAAGAGAAAGTGATAAATACTGGAGGAGAGATCGAGATTTTGCTAGACTAGGAGCTACCCATCTCATGAAACACACATGAGAATATATATTTATTTAGGAGCTTATCAAGAATCATCAAGAATATATGCATATATGTATAATTGATGGGGTCGCTGATGCTTTCTTCTGTCTGCTGCAAAGAATCGCATAGCTTGAAACTCTTTCTTACTATTGTGTGTATAGGGTATAAAAACAAAGGTGGAGCTAGAGCCAATAATTTTCTGCTCGATAATTTCCAAATGAATGCGTATCACAAATAAATTTCCCTTTGACAGCAGCAAAGCGTTAAAATTTAAAACAAAATCACGTTTTGCTGTTGCATACTTTTTGGCGTATGCACATCTGCTCGGCTTGTACGTGAGAAAAGTTTCACTTTATATACACACACACACACAAACATGCAGTCGCATACACGCAAACTTTAACAATTTATTTATTTACATTTACAGTAGACGCAGGTGAGCGAAGCGGTTGCATAAATAAAATCAAATAAAATAAATCATACCATAATTTCCAGCAGCAAAACTCGCTTTCACAAAATGCCGCATGCAAATTTAATCCATTTTTGGTTACTCAAACGTGTTAATATTATTTCGCATATTTTTCTATTTGCATCCATCCTAAATATAAACAGACAAGGATTTACACCAAGTACATTGTTGAACTGAATTTTTGTATTTACAAACTCAGTTTTAGCTACTCTCTCTACAAAATGAGAAAAGGGATCATTGAGATCGGATAAGAAACAATAAATGTTTGCTGCATCAGGGTATCTCCTAATCGTTATTTGTTCAAGCTAATCGAAGGCAAGTTGGTGAAGCCAAAAAACAGCTGTTTTCATGTTTAATTTAAAGTAGTGTGTGTAATTGTTAGATAGGAAACGATTGGAGATCTAAAGCTAAAATCCATTTAAATTAGCATCCACATGTCAACACAATTATGTTGGATAACAACGGCAACGAGATTTATGTGCACGTGAAGAGGGCACAAGTTACACAATGCCAAAATACATGCACAAACATGCAGACTACAGCACAAACATGGAGAAACACGTACCGGATGCGAGGCCGAAGGCTGTGGGTGGCTGGGGCGGTGGTCGGTGGGCGTTTGCCGGAGCTTGGCAATTGTCAAAATTGCCACCATAATTCACGTGTTGCCAGCAACAGAAACAACAACAACAATATAAACAACAATGAACTCAGCATCGTCATTCAATTGAAGCAAATGCTCAAAATGCAAATTACGCAATGATTTACATTTCGATTGACATATTTTAGGCAAACTGTTTGCAGGACTCAATCCCCCACTCCAACCCCAAACCTCCACCGCAACCCAAAAGCTCCACCCTTTGCTTGTTGGCCCAACGCATTGGCAGTAATTCAAAAATATATCCCCGAGCATCTTATCAAGCCCAAAATTGATGACTTTGACATGCGTTGAAAGGGATAGGGATATACTGAAAAAAAAAAAATATATATCTACCTGTATCTATGAAAAGCGCTTAACGCAGCTCGCTTTTTAATACGAAAATATATATAGAATTCAAAAATATTTTGTTTAAAATGTTAAAATTATTTGAATTAAAAATGAATTTATTTGGTAAATTTGTAGTTTCTATATTTTCCAAATTCCAGATGATTTATTTTGCTGAGTGTAGACAGCAATGCGTACATGTCGCATAAATATTGAAGCCTCAACTGAATCAGCCCCCAACCTAAATTGAATCAGTTTGGAGGCGATCCCTAAGAAATGTCTGGGACACAATGAAAAGCGTAAACTTTATGGCAATGTCTCTTCAGTCTCTGTCCCTCCCCCCACTGTCTGTCTGTCTGCCAGTTTTGTGTCCAAGTTCTTTATGCATGTTGGCAATATGCAGTTGCATAACTTGCTGCCAGTCGTCATTAGTCTGGATTTCTTATTGGTGACAAGGATATTCAGGCTTCACATGAAATGTTGAGTGAAAATAAACGCGGTATTATATTATGATTTTATGAAAGGGCCGAGTCAACTTGAATGCAGCCGCAAAGAATGCGATATAAAGGACACACAATGCCCCAATGCGAACTGCGGAAGCTCAATGGCTTCGCTGCTGGTTCCATCACAATTGCTGCACATCTTGGTGGCGAAGCCGTCACCACGATGCGGACATCAATGCAACTGGCAGTTGGAGTCAAGTGTCAAAGCATGCTGAAAGGCGTGTCTTACATTCTCTGCTGTCCCGTCCGGTCGTCCTTCTTTGCGCATAAATTCCAAAATAACAATACGACAGCAGCATCTTGAAGGCTGAGCATATGAGTTCAAACTTTGGGCCAGGCCGTCCATTAAAAGACGACTGGCCAAAAGTTTTAATGATGCCCCAAAGTCCTCTACACGGGAATAGGAAATCTAACCTAAAATCAAGGAAGTCTAAGTTGCAGTTCCAAAAACAAAAATCGAATAAAAAACACGCTTGAATCAAGTTATTTGCCTGCATACTTTCCGCATAAAATAAAATTCAAAACTTAAGGTTTTCTATTATTAAAATTTTTTTCTGTGTGTAGCTATTGTCTGGTGGTTCATCGAAAATATTCTTAGGTGAATTTATCAGGCACTTTCTGATAAATATAAAGATTTAATTTATATGCTTAGTTGGCTAAGAAATCGGATAGAGTACTGCTGCTTAAAATTTAAGCACTCTAACTTAAGCTGACTACTTATAACTCTGTTCTCAAAGGTATAATATCATAAATAGGATGAAAGGCTATATTGATTTTCATGTAATACATTTATATGTGAAACCACAGTTTTTAGCCAAAATTTAGGTATCAAAATATTCGCACATTTTATAGAGACATACAAATACACTTTCTTTCTTTTAGCAACCGAGTAGTATGCAAAATAAAACAAGATAGAATGCTCAGACCTATATCGATTCCAGAGACAAAGTATAGTGTTTTAGTCAAATGTAAACAAGTAAGAGGCAAAAGCAGATGCCCTCAATTTATTTTTTTGATAATCACTACCAGCCAAGTCTATTTGCTTCAATCCAAACTAGTCACTCAAAATTGAATGATATCTATATGTCATCATATTAACTACTTTCTGCAAGGACATGTAATCTTCGGAGTTGCAGTTCATGTTTTTCGTGTCAATGAAAAATTATAATGAAAAAGGCAAGAACTAAAGATAAACTGAGTGCATTATTTTGGAATTTACTTTGATTACATTTCACATGCCATTAAGCCCGCTGAAGCGTTGTGTTTGATTATTTAAATCTCTCGTAAGGAAGTTGCGCTTTTAGTTTGTACTCAATAAAAACGGTTGGATACATTTGCATAACCAAATCAAAAAATTGCAAATGTATTTGTGCCACATTTAATTATTTCTTAGTTTGTCACGGCTATGCAGTTGTTTCGCTGTTGTTTTTGCCCTGATTTGGGTTAAGAATGTGTGTCAACTTTTTGCAGCGAGTGTTTCTCTGCGGGGTTGCAAAGTGAAAGTTCATTTTGGCCGGCAGGCGTTGCAGTAAAACTTTGTTTTTTTTTTTACGCCTTAAATATGTTTTGCGGCTTGTTCCGGAAAAGTTACTTACACACAGACACACACAGCAGCTGTTTTGTTTTCAAGTGCTAAACTTGACACCAACTTATGATGGAATTCCTTGCAATGCCAACGCCCAAAAGAAAGCAGCCAAGTGGAAAAAACTTGCGCCAGACAACCGCAAAACAAGTCGATGTACTCCAGCAGAAAGTGTTTGGCTAGTAAATACCCTGCAGACAGCCAAATTCGGCTCGCATAAATGTATTTAATCTGTTTGAGATATTCAATATTTATGGATATTTTTTAAATGGAGCAGCGATTTTGTTAGCCAAGAGAAAAGCTACATAGCTAAATCGTCTCGTTAAAAAATATGCATAAATTATTTACACGGTCGCAGTTACATTTTTCACCAAATCCACTATAAACTCTTGCACATTAGTGTAAATATCATTAAAAAGGAAACGCACTCACAACTTGCTTACTTTAGCATTCACTTTATTTAGCAACTTAAACCAACTTGTTTACTCTAGCATTCACTGTATTTAGCAACTTAAACCGACGACTATGAAATTGGAGTTAGCGGCCATAGAAGCCACCACCGCCAAATGAGGATGCTGAAGAGGATGCTGAGGCGCTGCTGCCACCAAAGCCGCCACCATATCCGGGATAACCACCGCCACCATAGCCGCCTGGGAAGCCGCCGTAGCCGCCATAGCCGCCATAACCGCCTGGAAATCCGCCATAGCCGCCATAGCCTCCATATCCACCAAGTCCACCAAATCCACCATATCCAGGGTGGGGCAGCGCCTCCATTACGCTGAAGAGCGCGATTATCACAATGCCGAAAATAATAGCAGCTCGCATTTTGGCTTCTGATTCAGTTGAGTTCTACGTTGAAATGTGCGTCTCAAAGATGTAAGTGACATATTATATACAAAAAAAGTAAACAAAATATTAACGGGCTAGTCTGGTTTCTAAAAGAACTGGATCTAAGCTGGAGTGCGATGTCAAAATTGAATACAAATTCGAATCATTTAATATAGGCTCTTTTGCCAAAAACCGGTTGGGGGTTCAAAATTGCGTTGGTTTTTTTGGGGAATCACTTGGCTTGCCTCCCGTTCATTTTACTCGTTTAATATATTCAACTGCGATTTGTCTTTTTTTTTTTTTTTAATACGTTTCCATTTTTGAAAGCAAATGTTAATCAAGCAATCAATCGGGTTTCTATACATTTTCAATTTCTATTTGTGACAAATCGTTGTTTGTCAAAAATAAAGGTCATCTGTGCGCGATTCACAAGCACACGTTTAAGTAAATTCCCGAATATCAGCTAAAAGCCAAAAGGTTCAAATTTGTATACCCTGATCCCATCACAAATGGGAACAAGAATACAAGAGTATGTAACAGGCCCCATAAAGTTATATATATTCTTGTTCAGCATCAATAGCCAAGTTGTTTTTGCCTTGTCTGTCTCTCAATCTATATAAATGAATCGATCTCAGAGGCTGTTCAAAACTGGGGATATTTGAAGTAAGCTAGGGCACAAATTCAATTTAATTGTTTTCAAAATTATTGCGTTATTGCGTTTTCAGCATGGTAGAATCAAGAATGAATTGCAAACGAATCTTTCGTAAATCGTGGATTTTGATATGTTCCGGTGACTTTCCGGACGATATATACACCAAATATGGTGGCTATCAAATGGGCGATAAAGATCCGTACAGTGTATTCCATTTGGAGTACAAACCAACCACATTTCTATTAGTCTTTCACAACAGAGAGTTTTTCAAATGTATAGCGCTGGATTTGATAAATGTAACCACATCCGAATGTCTGCCGCAATCCGGAGCGCCAGAGATCATTTCAAATCCAAATAACCAAATTACATGCGTTAATCATGCCTTTCTAATGGCCGATGAATTGGCATCCGCGTGCACCACCAGACAACTGCCGGACAACGATTATACAGCCATTCTCTATGCGAATGAGGAGAAACAGTCTTTTCTCCACATCAACGAGAACAGCAGATGCTCTTACTTTGGCTTGAATAATTGGATGTTGTTGTTGCTGCTGTGTCTACTTTGGTTGTTTATTATCTTTCGTCTCAGATGATTGCTCGAGTGTTGGCAAGATGACATAAATACATCATATATTTAAATAATCCGGTGTTATTTTTTGTTACTTGTACTCTTTCACTTTTGAATATTACTCAAATTATTGCTATTTTTTTTACCAGAAACAATTTATGGTTAACTGCAGAGGGGACTTTTTCATTTGTTCTCTGTTTCGTTTTTGTTTCTGTTTTTTTTGTATATTTAAATTAACATATATCAGCTAATTCAATTACGGTATTTTGATACATTGAACCCATTAAAAATTCAAAAAATGTGAAAGTAAGAAAGCATGGCCGTCTGTATGAACAGAGCTAGAGACTTCAAATTTAGAATAAATATTCTTATTGAATTTGATCGACAATTCGTTGGCATTATAAAGATATAGTCTTATATACATATAATATATATCCTAAGATATTATTGATCGACTGTAAGATCATAAGATACACAGATTTAGTTAATCTAAACGTATCGCAATCGTACACTTTCTTTGGTAACTGATTTCATTTGTATATATTTTATATGCCATTTGACATGATATTTTGACAGTGCTTTGCGTTCCACATGCAACATGCTGCAACTACATTCCCTATAAGAGTGATCATCATCACCCTCGTCATAATATCTTTATGAGTTTAAGGGTCTGTCAAAGGGGCTGCGGCTGCGCCACGGATCGTCTTTCATGTGACAGGAAAGTACCGAGAAGCCAACATAAGTGCTCCTTGTCATGTTGTCACATGAGTATATATATATATATATATACATGTGTGTGTGTGTGAGTCTATGCCCACTCATCTCTGTTTTCATATATGTATGAATAATGGCTATTTAACAGACGCACAATTATCACATAATTATTTCGAATGACAAAACTAAAAAGGCGCGTGGTTATTGTTTTTTTTTTTTTATTGTTTTTCTGTATTTTTTTTTTAAATTAGCTACCACTCAAGTGCCACAAATAAATTAGCTTGATACTGGTTTCGTATATATTGGAAATGTATTTACAAAATGAATCATACAAATAAATTTTGTCACATGTTCAAGATATTTAACAAATTCAATGATTGTTCCTATGAACACATTATGATATTGTAATTCGATGTAGACAATTTGTTGTATGACTGCTAGCATAATATCATGCATGACTAATAAATTATATTGTGATATAGGTTGCAATCATCACGATTAAATGATTATACATGAGCAGTTAGAAGACAACAAGTTTGATTCGCAGTTATATATTCATGGTTTAGGTCTCTTTTGAATCTAGAATATATTCTTGAATGTAGTTGGTTTTACTTTTCTCTTTGTGTACGTGCACAGAGATACATTTAAGTACAAATAGTCAAGTTCCTGTTGCAGCAAATATGCGTACTCGGACCTCGTTTGTCCTGTGGAATTTCTGCTCGACATTTGATTTGACAGAGCTCCAGGTCTCTGCTTCTCCCGCTGGCACAGTTGCATTGTATCTCTCTGTGTGCGCAAAGTTTTGCAACGTGTAGCATGTCAGCAGCATGTGTCGTGCCTCAGTTAATTTGCTGTCCTTTTGTCGTCTTGGGTCTGCAACTATTTTGCCGCATCGCAAAAGGGTACAAAACGCATTTTCCCTTTGTGCTGCCTTCGCAAACATTATTGCAATTTTGTAGATATTGTAAAAATGTAAAAAATAAAAAATAAACACAAATACAAACACGCATTTGCCTCCCTATCTGCCCCTCCCCCACTTTCGCACTCTTTATGCAAATTAGTTGCAGATATCGCTTACATTCCGCATGTAAATTTGCATTTTGTTACTGCCTGTCATGATGCCTGAGAAAGGAATTTTTATTTGCATTTAAACTTTTACATCGTACTTGTTAACCTTTTGTCTATTAAGTACAGTGTGTGTTTGTGGGAGTGTGTGTGTGTCTGTGTGTGTGAGTGTGTAGAAGTTATTCCCTGAATGTCACCTTATTGCTTGGAGTGCTTAAAATCAGCAGCTTCCTGTACTATACTGATTTATGCAAGGAGTTGTGCCGAAGCTTTGTGAGATGATAAATTAGATGGGCTTTTGGAGAGATTTGCAAGAAATCCTTTGAGTGACTTTAAACTTTAAACTGCTGTCCCTTTCAACTCTTTCACAATGTATGTCTTAAATTTGAAATTCCAAGTATTCCCTCTATATTCACCCATATTCCAATAAGTGCACTGCGAACAAATGTTATCTACTTGAATATGTCATGTATTTGTAATGCGTACGCATTCTTATGCTTTCAGACCGAAGATAAAAGAGTGGTTTGTTGAGACTAGAGAATTTAACTTGCATTTGTTGTATATATTTAAGTTTATTTATGCTCTTTGCGACGTTGTCGATAACATCGATAAGTGCCATATATCTGCCACAATTTGAAAGCTAGAGTCACCAAATTCAGAAGGTAGATTGCTGGTGATGTCCATTTAAGTTTGCCTATAGCGACTAAGTCTCAGATCTCTCATAATTTAAGAGCTATATCTATCAAACTTGTGAGACAGATTCTGTTAACCAACTCATAAGATGATAACGAAAATTTCCATCTGTACCCAAAATCGTTCATGCGCTATTTTGGTTAAGAACACCCTTCAATGTATTCTGCTGTCGGTTAATGTTCTCATTTGTTTTTGCCAGTGTACACAGTTTGTGTTTGGTAGTTTGTGTTTATTATACCAATCTGTCTTTTTAATTGTGTTCAACAACAGGAGTTGCCCACAATTTTAATGTATTTTGATGGCGATGGCAATTTAGCATTGGGTTTGTGGTTTTCAAAACTTTTCCTTGTCTATTCTCTCTCTCGCTCCCTCCCGTTCACTCTAGCTGTAGGTTTATACTGTTTGTGCGTCACCTTTCTTCGACTTTAATTAAGTTTTACTATACAAATTAACACATGCTGGTGATAGAAGCACGCAGACACACACACACACACACACACACACATATACAGTCGGCAGTCTTAAAAATTTGTAATCATATTTATATGTATGCATATTTAATTAATTCATCTATCAAAGTAAATAATTAAATCAGTTGACAGCTTTATAATTGGAAACTTTAAAGATTTCTTGAATAGGAAAATTATTCAGATTCGATGATTACAAATGAGCTGTTGTTTTCTTTTTTTTTGCGTTTCTTTTGTAAATCAATTTCGCATATATGCATAACTTGAATTTTGTGCTGAGTAGCTATATATACTAACAAGTTAGAATGTTACCCAGCTGTTAAATTCTTGCCGACTTTAGCTTGTTCAAAATGAAAATAAGTTTCGTTTAACAAAATTCATGTTTTTTTTCGATCTCTATGAATCTTTTACAGTTGCTTAATAAAATGTTTAGGCTTATTTTATTATAATTTTTGTTGTTGTGTTTTTTTTGTTACTCGGAAAGCGTATGAATAATTATATAAAATGTTTTAAAAACGCATTTGAAGTGAAATTTGTCATCTCTCATTTAATGTTGCGTATAGAAAAATAAATATTAGTCAGGTATAATTGGGTTGCAATACATTCTATAAACAATAATAATAGTAATAATAATAATAATAATAATAATAATGCAATTTAGCTAATTGAAATACATTTGAATTTATATATATGTAAGTACAATATTACTAAGGAGCCTTCATCAGAGCGTTGGATACGCGTTCTTTGCATAATTGGCGGCCACACAATAGTTTGGCGCCCCAAAGAAGCTGCTCGGATTCGTTCCGAAACCGCCATAGCAGTTCGTATAGTTCTGGCAGGATCGTAGTTCCAGCGGTGCAAAATTCAGGGCGTAGGCCCCAGGGGGTGCACCATGTGTCAGATTTGGATACTTGTGCATATTGTTGGGTATCGGAGCGGCCACCAGCTGTGTGGCCGTTTCCAAAATTGGACGGCCAATGCTGACGCTTCGCTCGTTGCGACGAAACTTGGCTCGACGATTCTGAAACCAGACCTAGAAGTTTTTGGGGCAATAGATCAGATCGCAGTTTATAAACATTATCGATCACATCGTCACAAGATTATAATTTTATTTTTTGCAAACATATAAATATTTTTTTGAGAATATATTTTTTTTTCTCTGTTTGCCGCATTTTGTTGAATAATTGGGTCTGCTTACCTGAACACGAGCCTCACTCAAATGCACCTTGGTGGCCAGCTCCTCCCTGACAAATGCATCCGGATAATGGGTGCGCTCGAAGACCTTCTCCAGGGCCGTCAGTTGGGCGGAACTGAAAGTGGTGCGGTTACGTCGCGGCTTCCTCGAGTGCCCCGTACCGTGATTGTTGGGATAATCCAGGGCGCCACCGACGCCGCCTGTAATACCAAACAAATTATAATGCCATTAGAAGAAAGTCGTCTGATTTTAGTGGAATTCCTCGAATCGTATGCAATCGTAAATAATCGATTACAGTCGGTATTGAGGAATCTTGTTTAACATTTATGGATGTCAGCACATTAAATTTTGCATTTCCATCGGATCCTTTGTCAATGATGAAGCGGTTGAAAGGGGGGTGGATAAGGTCATAAACAAATGGCATAGCTCATAAAATATATTTTCTCCGACATCGTCGGGCAGCTGCCTGTTAATTTTAGGTGCCGCGTCGCCAACAACAAACAACAAACGCAACAAATTTACGATCTATTAATTAAACTGAAATTGTGACATTAAGCGGCCGCAACTTTCTAACTAATTGATTTCACTGCTAGAAATTCTGTACAAAAGTTCTCAGAAATACGGTTAATAGCAGTCCTAATCCTATAGCTCAATAAACATAAGTATATTTTTGTATGAGTATTTCTATTTAATAAACGATTTAACATAGCTCCTGGCCATGACAGTGCAAATAAAACCATAAACAGATTTTTCCCTCATTTTTTTTTATTTATTGGAAGGAAAATTTTTATTTTGAAAAAGAAAATATTCGCAAAAAATGTTTTGGCTATGGAATTGATGTTGTTACAAAAAATAGCGCTGTATTTCAAATTTTGCCTTTTCAAATAAAACATTTCCAAAATTGTGTTCACCATGGAATTGAGGCTGTATTTCAAAATCTAAGGCATAATCAGCATATGTTCGAGAATTTCTATTGAAAGTTGTTTTTATAAATGAAGATGTACTCTAGAAAGATGAATATTGAGTTTCTGCAGTCGCCTCACATAAGCATAAAAGTCTTTTTCGAAATACAAAACCTTAAACAACTACAAAAAATGCAATATTGAAGAGTTCTGAATTGTTAATAGTGCTATTTTTATTGCCCGCACTGTATGCATAGATATATTCATTCTTGAATGATAAATTTGAATTGAAATGAGCTGAGAATTTATGATATCATATGAGTGTGCATACTGGATAGATATGTGATTTATGCAGACATTATTTGCATGTGTGTATGTGTGTGTGTGTGTGTAAGTGGAACTCATGCATGATATCTAGGTGCCAGATGTGGGCGACATTTGCTCATTTATGCCGCCGCCAATTGCACATCCAAATGGATGACAAGCGTCATCTTTGCGTGTATCTTTTGCATCTCTCTGCCTGTGTTACTGTTGAGGCTGAGCCGCAGATTCACCTACACGGCAAAAAAACTTAACAGGTATTCCGTGCTCAGAAGTCTAATAAATGGGGAAAATTACAAAATTTGCGGCATCTTTCAAGAGTGTTGCAGCTTTTAATTTGATATTCATATTCATCACTTAAGATTTTCCATTCTAGAATGGAATTTTTTTCAATAAGTATTTGCATTTGTTTTTTTGTGGAATGCTTTCTTAAAGCATTATTCTCTGTGTATGAGTATACATATAGTCCCCTCCACGCGACTACTCAGCTCTACAGCCACCAGGTTGTCAACATTAAAGGCGACATGTCGTCTAGTGGCCTGGTTGTATGTCCTTGTTGTTGCTGCTCGCTTGTCAGCGGCATAATTTGCTATGAAATATGTCCGTCTCATTGTCATTGCTATCAGAAGCCGACTCCAAAAAATCAAAAAAAAAAAAAACGAAACGAAATGGGAAAAACAAAAAACGGATTTTTCCCTTTTCGGCTGCATTTGGGAGTGCAACAAGAACGACGACTGCAGACAACACTTCAACATTGTCAACATGACAAAACGTAATCAAAGCTGACATGATATTCCCTCAGAGGCCGGCATCGCTTCGCCTTTGAACAACCGAAGCGCCCATCAACCCAGCCCAGCCACAGCCCAGCCCAGCGGAGCCCGAGCCTATCCTCTCCAAGTGGAGCATAAAACGAGCAGTCATCTCCCAATGCAGATGCCCAGCAAACCAGAAGTAGGCAGGCAGCAGCCCCTATTCGAGAGGCGTGTGTTTATTTTTATCATCGCTCCGATTGTAACATGTGCCAGTCTGCGTATCTCCCCTCCCTCCCCCTTATTTCCATGCCTTTACTTTCACTCCTCTCCTCCTGGCGCACATATCTGATTGAGGTTTCCCTTTCAATTTGGAGTTCTCGGTTCTTTTTATTTTATATTTTTTTGTTGATTTTATTAAGCTGCAACTGTTTTTTATCGCTGCCTCGTTGCTCGATTCGCTGGCAATTCAAATTAAACATCTCTCTTTTCCCACTGGTTTCCCTCTCCTTCCTCCCTCCACCTAATTCCCGGGGGAACTCATTGGATTCTTGTGGCATACTACACACAACTCCGGCGCTGATCTACGATGCAATCCAGCGGACAGCTTCGCTGACAAATTGAGACAAATGGCGTGGGTAAAAAGATTTTGGTTGGGCTAAGTTACATGATAAAAAATCGGATTGCATGAAATACATTGCCTGATGATTACCACCCTGAAGCAGACGCTGCACATAAAATACCTTAAAATAATTTAAATATCTCTCCACTGAATTTCATTTAAAGCGATATCCTATATAAGTAGAAGGGTTTCAAAAATTAACTATTACTAGAGTTTTTGAATTGTAAACAATGAAATGATGTTGATCAAGAATCAATATACTTGAATTTTAAAGGAAATACTTTAAGGAGATTAGTTAAATTTGTAGGGTGTTCCTTTGACGTGATCAGCTACGCCAGCCGAGTCAAGAAGTCCTGCTCACCTGTCCTTTAAACCATTTGTCTGTTTGATTCTCTTTGCGAACCCATCAAGTATATTGATTCTTGATCAACATCATTAGCCATATATTTATGACCATATCTGACGGTTATTACGCAAACTTGTCCCCAGTTTTGTAGCTCATTATATAACTGGCCTAGCTCTAGCTCATTTTCTTAACAAAGTTATCCGCACCAATCCTACTAAATATGCGTGTTATTATATTTCTTACATTTGTAGAATTTATCAACATCGAAGAAATATATCATATTGCTCACAGCTCTTCCGACTTGCTTTAGATATTCATGCTACATTTTTCACCATCTTACTTTTTATTAGAAATTACTTTACCAGACTTACCAAAAGTATTTGTTAGCTCCATGCGCATTTTGCTCTTTGCATAGCCATCCTGTTTCAGTTCAATGAGATTGTCCACCGAGAACCGATGCATTTTATCTAGCTCTCTATGGTTTGCGATGATGTCCTTATCCTTGGCAAAGGCGGCATTCAGCTCCGCAGGCTCTGACTGTGGCTGATAAGCCGCCGCCGTCGAATCGACGGATGTCAAATTGTTAGCTGGAGCTACGGAAACCGGTCCGGATGCTGCACTGGATGCAGCCGCCGGCGGCATCGTTGAGGCGGCATAGTAGAAACTGCTGGGATTGCCGACGGGTAGGGAGTGCAGCTGATGCTGCTGATAGTTTAACATGGCTAACAAATTCAATTTACAATTGGCATAAAATCACTGCCTCGCTGGATAATTGGAACAAATGCCACACTATGTTGATGATTAGACGTGTGAGGAAAAGAGTCAGATAGAGAGAGAGAGAGAGGGAGAGAGAGAAGCTGATAAACAATTCAATTAGGCACGCGAATTGTGCGTGTGGGAATTCTTCATTTGTCTGTTTGTCTAATTGTCTGCTGATTGAATTAATTTATTTGCGTTTTCTTTGGCTCGCTGGGGCATCTGCTTCGTGGGCATCCTGCGCGAACTTGGTTAATTGGATTAGCACACAACACATAAACGAGTTAATTACGATAATTGTCGCGACGATACTAAACCGTGCCAAAGTCGTGTGCCCACTGAAATTAGCCTCAAGATGCCTCACAGATCTCTGCTCGCTGCCTGCTGCTCTCAGCTCTTAGCTCGCAGATCGCTGCTCGCTGTTTCTTCAACAGATCCATCCATCCAACCACACACGCACAATATCTCAAGTGCTCTCATTCACTCTCTCTCAAGATCTGTGTCTAATTATAGCAAACTTCTCCGATTGGCTGTTCAGCAAGATCAACGCCTGCAGCCGACATTTTTATTTTTGTTTTGGGTAGGCGTTGCCACATGAAATATGAGGTGAAAAGTAGGCAACAAGTTTCAGGGGCATTTAGGTAGCAATAAATACCAATTAGTGGATATGAGGACGATGCACAAGATATATCCTTGCTGCATCTGTTTTGTTTGTTTGTGTTCCATTTTCGCAGGATGTGCTCTGCTCTTGGGATGAGCATTAATCATGCCGCGCACACAGTTTGTCATCTATTCGGGCGAATTTCCATAACCACAACATGTTGTTCAGGCATACATGTTTCCCATATATGTATATATATATGTATACATATATACCATATACGCTGCTTGTGACAAGTAGGCGGAACTGTGTAACTGTGTGCGTTGAGTGCATTATGTGACTTGCGTCTCTTGTTGCATTTCAATTGCAGCTGTGTGACGGCAATGCCTCAGTTTGCCTTAGTATTTGGAGAATATGGTAATTGCTTATATGTTGATTTGCTATCAACATCATCACTTCTATTAACATTGCCTCTGTCTATGAGATGTTTGAGCAGTTTGCGCTGATCCCCATCAACCAGTATTGATACTAACTTACAGTAAGTAATTGTAAAAACTTTAGTAGGTTAGTAAAACTATTTCATTATACTCTGATCCCACTAAAAAGGGGGAAATGTTGTGAAACAGTTACGACCCCATAAGGTAATAATATTCTTGATTAGCTTCAATAGTCGATTTGATTTAGCCGTCTGGCTTTCTGTATGAGGAAAGACTATAAGAGCCGGAGACTTCAAGTTAGGAATGTCAGTTCTCGTTTACCATAGTCAGATCGTATTTATTTAATTCATGCGATAACTTATAACTTTTTTATTGATTTATAATATACCAACACATATTTCTTCATTAATCATCATACATCATAATATAGCATACTCCATTTAGCTAATGTATTTGTGGGGAAAAACTTTAAATTGAAATACAAATCATTTCGCACACAATTTGAAATCCTTTGATATTTAATATACACTTAGCGACTGTCTAAAATGTTCACATTCTCAGGATTTCAATTGTTTTCACACCCTTTATCTATCTGTCTATCTAATTAGACTTTCGAAATGCCTAAGGGATGAGAACTTCAGCAGCTTTCGCTTCATATAAAATGTCTGCAATTTAATACAAATTCATTTCTGATTTAGTTGTTAATCATTTGTTAATTGTGCTGTCAACTTTGGTGTTGTACACGGCAGTCATTAGCAGACCCCGCTGGGTCCTCAAGTAACCTTTGCTCATTAGATGCCAGCAGAAGTCAGCAAACTATCAAGTAATATTCTAATATTTCCAAACATTCGCCTTGCTGCTCATACGTTTCATAACACTTACCCCTACCCTACCGCCCCCCCCGCAAATTGAGCTGTCACAAAAGTTTATCCAAAGTACTTGACACACCACTGCGGTAAGCAGAACCAGGAACTGGATGGGGAACCGGCGCAGGAGCAGATACAGGCTCATAGGTCTTGCTGGCTTCCAAATTATCGCACGATTTCGTGTGCAAAGTTCTTCGAGGAATGTTGCGGTGTGTATTTTTAATAAAACTTCAAAGTTTTGCGCAACTTGCGATACGCTTTACAATGTTTCTCTGCCTCTCTCACTCTCTGTAGCACTTTCCCTCTGCTTCTCCGACCTTTCTCATCTGTTTCAGTTTGGAAATTCTTTGTCACGAAACATTTCTCGCATGCAATTGCAAGGAGTTGTGGGCTGCGCATCCCTTATCCATGTCCTTTCACAGGTAATACGTCTTACCTGAGGACACACACCCACACACACGCACACACACACGAATACACACCGCCTACACACTGAAAAAGTCAACTGAAATTCTTTTGGCAAGTTAGAAATTTGAGCAGACACTTTTAATGTTGTCAGATAGCAAAAAGTAACTGCACTTGGCACAGTCACAGTGAAGTTTTTATTTTATTTTATTTTTTATTGTAGCACCAGAAATATTTCTGACAATGGACAGGCATCTCAAAAATTCCCATGATGTTCAATTATATACGAAATATACGAAATAGCAAATATTTCAGAATATTAATTAAATTTATGCAAATTAAATATATTATAGAATTGGAATTCTATGAAACCCAGAATACAACACAATTGAGTACATATTTCCATGTGTTACTTAAAGAAAATACTTATTGCTGTCTTTAGCTGATTATCTTGTGCGTTATTTGATATACAAAAAATGTTGAATACAATAAGCAAATAAGAATGTTTAATACATCGTGGTTCTGCTGATATTATTATTATTTGAATTTGAAAATACTTTTTGGTTGACAAAAGCTGTAGTTGCTCAATAAATGTTCAGTCTGTATTAAATATCAATAACACGCTTTCCAAATGTGTCTATTATATATCGATTCTAGAGATTATATTTAAAGTTTGAACTCCTAAATCTTATATTCTCTTAGATCGATTTGTTCACACATACCGATACATTTTAATGGGTTCAGCGTAGTCCTTATTCATATTCATATCTGATGTTATTCACTCCACCGAAGTCCGCACATGTTTCAACATTTTCATAAGTGTGCCATTATGGCGAATGTATCAACATATGAGGGGTGGTAGGAGGTAACCGGTAGCTGGTTGGTTTGGAGATGTTTCGATTGTGTCCGTAACCACATTGTGGTGCTTTCCGTGCTGTGTGGCCATGGGGCATGCAACGTGGCAAAATAGAAATGCATGTAGATGTGTCGCAACAGACTAAGCTGCACATGCAGATATTGATACAGATACAGATACAAGAATCATGCAACATGTTGTGCCACAGCAACACGCAGCTGCCAGTGAGATGACAACAGTTGGTTTACCCCAAAGAAAAAAAAATTAATAATAATAAGAACAATTCCAAAACCAAAATTGACAGCGATTTGCATAAAATTAAATAAAGTGGCCCTTTTCGATTTGATTGAAGCAGAAGAAACCATGCGCAACATATTCAATGCAGAAGAGAAGAAGATGAAATAGAAGGAGACTCCTCATCTTTTTGCCTGTCGCCCATAAATGTCCGAAGCGGCACTCAGATTCACATTCAGATTCAGATTCAGATTCAAATGCCAGGGCTCCACTCATAAATTATGCAAGCGATTTTAAAATCGAACTTGCTTCCGTCTCCGCTGCTGCTGAGCCCAAAAAAAAGGCTTGCTTCTGACCCAACTCAGAAAGACAACCGGAAAATTAATATGTGATTGTGTGTGTATGTGTGTGACTAACTAAATTGACATGTGTAGTGTTGGGTAGGGATGTGTGAGAGTGTGAGTGAGGCGACTGATAAAATCCTTTTCAAAGTTTTGCTGCTTTCCGACTGAAATAAGCAAGCGTTTTATATACAGAAGTCGTAGTTCTTGTCGGGCCTATGTCACAATAAAAGTCAAAAAGCTTTTGCCTGCCTTAATTAATGTAAATTTACCGCTCCCCAATACACACACACACCCGCACACACATACACACATTCAGCAGTGCAACTGCAGGCCGCCAGTTGATGCCACTGTGTGTGCCTGTATGCAAATGTAATTGATTTTCTGTTTATGCACTTGCCAAATTGCTTGCACGAGGGAACGGGGGAGGGGCGGCGGGTTGATTGTCTGTGTGTGTCTGTGTGTGTGTGTGTGGTATGTCAAACAGCACGCTTCCTATGTGCTGCTTCCGGTTATTTCTTGTTATTATATTTCATTGGCTTCGTCGTCTCTTATTGCGAAAACCAAAAACTTTTCATTGAAAAAGGCATACAACGCGCAAAAGTTTTGTGATAGCAATGAGCTTCTTAGATGGGGTAGATTCGCTGCTAGAGGGCCACATGCCAACACTTGTTTGCCGTTAAGTGATTTAGGCAAAAGTTTTACACCCCTCGCAGGAGCCCTGCTGCTGCTGCTGCTGTCAGGCAGCTTTTTTCATTTGGCATTCGTGTTTGGCATTTTGGTTAGACGACACGCTCGACACGGCAGCACTGAGAGAAATACTCAAGTGCAACAGTTACGATGTGTTCTGTGCAATATGAAGTTCAACACATTGTTGAATATACTTAGATAAGCTTAAATCATTCGTGAAAATAGGTACTCGTACTTCGACTGATAGCCATAAGAGACACATTTGTAAACATATAATCTGATTGCAATTGATATATAATATACCCTGACACGTTATTGAGCAACTGTAACCAAAAGTATTTGTGTATTAAATGCATAGAAGTAGGTCTACTATTTATTTAAAAGCTGCATGCAGGGTATCTCCAAGTTGATCTATCTATACTAGTGCATTCTAACGGTTACTGTACTTCAAACTATACTGACTCAAGTTATTTTACTCTTATTTAAAAATAGAATCATGATTAAGTTAAGCACTTCATATATTATAAGCACTTCATATCATATAAGTAATCAAAATGAAATATATGTTTCTACTTTAAATACCATACTTAAGTTAATGTAAAATTATCTTTCATGTCTTGCAAATGCATTCTTGAATGGAGAATATTTTGGCGTACAAGTTACTCCATATTTGTTTTTTCAAGTGCATGGATGAGAAATGAGGTAGAGAACCCTTGAAGCTGGTACTACGTGCGGGCTGTTCGCTAGCGAGTGGGAGGGGGAAGGGAAAATCCTGTTGTATTTGAAATATCGGAAATGTTTTACAAAACTTTCACTTCAGCTATAAGTTGGCTGACTGAGTGACTTGG